CAATGCTGGGGACTCACTGTTTGGACTGGTATTAGCAAGCGAGGATCCAAGTGGAAGACGTATACAGTGGAAAGCGACTTAATTCCTGTGGAGGATCAATAGGGGCAATCGTCCCGTGGTGAGCGGTATCGTACGGCAGTAATGAGCCGTGCCATGTGTGGCGCTGCGACAATGGGCCATACAGGTTTGTCTGTGATGGCCAGTCTATCCTGGCCCGAGCGGATGTTTCGATAGGGTCGTACAGCAGCTGAAAGGTTTGGCCTGCAATCAATCATCTGCTATACGAAAGCTTGAAGAAAGTCTTAGTATAGGATGAACAGTACTAGCCCGGTGGCACGACGGCTACATGACCTGAGCTCGCGATTGTTTCTCACTTTCAAGCCACTGTATCTGCTCATAAGCCGGGATATACACCGCTGAGTTTGCTCATCAAAGTTGGCCAGGACGTCCGCCGTGAAAACATCACAAGCAGCCTTGCATGCATCTCTAACGATACTGTCGGATTGGAAGTCCAATTCGACCTCGCGGCAGCGCAGGGGCCACCCATCGATCGTATAGTCGATTACCGCAGCCCACCCAACCTACGGTTGGAATCTCCTTTCTACACGTACGCAGCAGATTCATATAGTTCAATTGACATACTACTACGTCAACCCACGGTTCGAACCAATCGACCAATATCCCTGTGATAGGGATACCAACAGATACTTTCCATTTTGTTTCGGAGACTTGTCCCTTGTTATCTCTACTTTCCAGCTCTGCGTATGAGCAGCCAGCGGCAATGGCGTTTGTGCTTCCTGAGTACCTTGTCATCGAAGAAAGTCAATTCTTTCAACACCAGCTTCCGGCTACTGCCAATACCCAACCTTCCATCCCCAGGCGTCTGTCTATTCTCTTCAACGAGACTACTTTCTATCCCATACGGCTCAATCATGTCCAGTACATTGAAAATTGAGGACAAGAGGATTGGTAACCTTCAAAGTCACTAAAAGGTTCCCTAAAGGTGCTCACTCCATGGGATGATGAGCCTGAGAAGGCTGAAGTTTTGCCAGGTCCTCTGGAAATCATCGCGGAAGCTTGAACGTCACGGCTTCCATGACTACTCCTACTATGGATACGGAGCTCATAACTCATGTGCTCTTGAATTCATGATAAGAACATCGATCGCGGGCTAGCAATCTCATTGGTATTCGGCGGACTGACTGATGTCTTGCGGGCCGTAGTTTTATGAAGAATTCCTGCGAGGAAACAAGCATGACCATGAAATCACGAGGAAGTATGTTCCTCCAGCCTCAGCTTACACATCCAAGTGACTTGTTATCGAAGAAAGTAAATTGTTTGTGAGACAGCTCACACATCTGATAAGATGCCCACATCACCTGCTGGTATCAGCAATTGAGTGTCGCTTGTCTGAGGGTGAGGGTGTTCGCTCAGAGACACACGGACACCAATCTCATTCTCTCTGATGGTTTGGATGAGGCCGTAAATGGACAGCTCCAGTAGATACGAATTGGGATCTGCTTGAACCTAAACAGCAATCCCACCCGAGATCTAGTTGAGTGGAAAACACACGATGATTTGCGCAAACTACAGAATTGCGCGATGAGCCTTTCGCCGTCGACTCAACCCCCGGGGCACGCCCGTGGTGACCCGACTACCTAATCCATCTCCATGAGGAGCTCGTAGTATCTTTTGATAAGTGAGACCAGCTCACGTTTTGCCTGCCAAGATAGAATGTGGGCTCTGTGTCTGTAAGATCAAATCTCAACCATTAAAGAGTGTGAACTGTGAGCCATGGCACACGGCATCCCTCACCAGGGGTGATGGACACCGCCAGCGATTCTCGTCAATCTCATTCCACCCGATGGCACTGAGTGTAAAATCTCGATATACTTTCCCTTTGGTATGAATGAAGGTGTTTTATTTCAACGCTAAGCGGCAGTTCGTCTCAGGCTGCATTCTTCTTTGGGCTGGTTCCTGAGTCTTCTGGGCCATGACTGCATGCGCTGTTGGAAGTACGACCTCATAGTGGTTGTGCAGGGGGCCAGGCCCCCAACAATGTATAATAGGGGCTCTACCCACTCTCCTAGCTGTTCAAGGAATTCACACTTTCACACACTACACCTACCTGTGTCCAACATGCGCATCCCGGTCCGCTCACGCCACTGCAGCCTGGGGGCATTTCCTATTCTCATCGGTCCAAAAGTAACAATGTCTCCCTCTCAGTCGACTCCAGATAGCTGCGTCTACACCTGCCAGAAGCCTCAGTGCAGGCTCTCCTACCTTGGTCCTACGATATTGCTATCACACGGTGGCGAGAGATAGCTTGAAGCCCATACCAGCATCGATCACAACCCCGAATGTCCCGCAGTTTGATACATTGAGAGCCAAAGGCTCATCCATCAAATTGACATGCTACAGAATGAGAATTGCCTTCAGGTGTAGCGGGATCCACTTCAAGTCATCTCGATGTGTTCTAGTGACGCGTAACATCTGTCTTTGCCGGAAGCCATCCAAATTAAAATCCTTTCACTCACAGAATTAGTACATGTGTTGTTGGCTTCATTAGCTTTACAAGTGTCAAGATGTCAACTGGCAGGATTAGCTAGGAGCCCGACCAAGTGATGGACTCAGGAATGGTCGTGAACAATCTCAACTACAATTCCTCAACCTGCTGTACTCGGAAGCTGCCGAGTCACGCTGGACGTGGCTTGTTTGCGTCAAAGGGATAAGGGCGGTATGTTGTTGATGTCCTTTGACGGTCATCGCTACCACGCTTCTTTCAGCTATCCATTGCCTACCTCTCCTTTACCAGTATATATAGGATGCCAATCTCAAGTATAAGGGCACGATAGTGTTGTGAAGCCAAGCCGGAAGACTGCTGCCAAAGAATTCACTGCTGCCGCGTTTGCCTGAGCCCACTCTTTGGATATCGGGGCTTTTGATGCCGAGAACTAGATCGTGTTTGACATCTAATCGCCCATCACCCAACCTTGTGTCTTTCAGCTGACATAACCCCTTTCCCGCGTTGCCTGACGAGAGGAATATCACACAGAAAAAGCATGACACGGCAAACATGACGATGCATGTTCAACTACTTCAACTATCATTCAATCAAGCATAGGCCCAGGGCACCGTTAGAAACCCTCTCTTACTAGACTTAATGAACAGGACCTCCTCTGGAGCTCAGTGATTGCTTCCTTTTATTCCTTTGCATTTTCGCAGCTAAATATGCAAGACAAGTTTGCACGGAAATTCAAAAGGCTTGACTAGGGAGGCTGCATAGCTCGACACTCGAAACATGTTGTCCCTACGTAGAGACTCTAATAGAGCAATGCGCATCAAGTCACTGATCCTTCGCCTTGCTGGCTTCTCAGTGGAGCAGGATACTTTGAGGCCCAATCAGAACCTAGTCACGACAGCTGTCTGCATTCACAGGCCTTCATGCGCAAGTACAGCTCACGAGAGATCAGCTTGGGGACCGCTGTTCTGCAGTGTTACGTGGCCATCATGAATGTTGCGATGCCCTCACTCTGGCACATACGACCATACCCATTGGAAAACTCGGGATCCCGTCCGCTCTCCCATAGATAAGCCAATGAGGGCCGGATTAGTAGTTGGGTCGGTGACGACCAGCGAATACCTGGTGTTGTATGTTGTTTTGTTTTTGGTTGCGATGGAGAGGTAGCAAGATCGTCACACAGCGCAAAGCCCATGCCTGCCTGTATGTAAAAAAAAGTTGACGTAGCTAGGCCAATGTTCATCTTCGATGTAGATTTGGAACATCTACTTAGTCTAGACAATTAAAATGGTGATGATCGTATTATCCTTCCAAGATTTTACCGACAATGAGAGGGAAGGGAACAGGAGATGATGTCCAGATGACTTTTACCGTCTCCTATCCATGACGTTGTGTCTTGAGCTTCCATTTTTTCGTTATCTTGTCGAACATGCTGACGTTATTCTGACCTAACAGCTGCTGCTATTGTCTTTTGGGCATCTCCATGCTTCGATATCTTTAACTTCGTCGAACCGAATGTATGGACGAATGGAGTCCTAGTTGAGATCGAAGTTAGATCACACCGCATATGCATTTGGGAATACTCCCCTGGGTTCAATTTCAAGCCCAAATATGAAGATGATCTCGTTTTTTCAGTCCAATCGAACTCAATCTTTGACAGGGTCTTATGATCCCCTGCGGCGGACTCTGACGCCATCGGAACGGTCGCAGTCATCGCCACTGTCCTTCCAAGTATGTCTGAATGGCTACATCTGTTTGCTGAGAAGGGTTGCCCTATTCCTCAATCAAGCTCACGATGCCAATGACTGCATGGGGTACTTAAAACTTGACTTGTGCCTTGACGGTGCCATCTCAACAACATCCGGACACTCCCCATTACATATGAACTGGACATCATGGTCGATGGATGATCTGTTGCTAAGCGGCGTTTAGAATGATGGCCTTGGGCGTTTCTTACTGATTAGATAGAGTTGGAACGTGATGTTTTCACGTAATGTCGGCGGCTGGTCTGATAACGGTAATTCCAGTAATTGGTTGCAGAGGTTTGGAAATGCGATAAGTGATCAGGTCGCAGCTATGATAATGGAGGACCTATTCCGGCATGAGATGCCGCTCACTAACCCACTGGAAATGTATTTGCTCTGAGCAGCACCTCAAGTCAGCAAGTTTTGCTGCTCGTTCCAGATACTCGCCATGATTATTGTCAAAGTCACATCAGCAGACGACATTTTGAGGGGGAAAAAGACGGATGAACAGCAAGGTGAACTTCTCACGGATATGTATCTATGAATGATACAACAGCGGGCATACGTTTGGCCAGGCACACGCGATAGATTACACTGAGCCGCATCGCGCCAAAAAGACGATTGGTTTTATTACTGGTGGGTCATCTATGAGAAATACTGGCCCCAGGGTTCGAATAGCAAAAAGATTCCGTGATTCTAGTAAATGATGAAAATGAACGCATGATATCGGATGCTCACGGGTGGTAGTCGTCATCGACATCGTCGTCGGCGTAGTCCTCGACAAAAACGTCGTTGTCTTCAGCGGCTTGATGGCGACGTCTTGCGCTCTTGGTTGACCTGCGATGCTTGGCAGAAGTCGTCAGTCTCAAAGATGCTCGAACTCTTTGATTCTCCAGTGTCCGCTTGCGTGAAAGCCCTGTTCTTGCAACGACGGTATCCTAGTACTGTCGCTGTAGGGCCCGGGGGACGTTGGTCTTCTTCTCCCACGTGCGATCACGAGATCCGACCCATTGGATCGAGTATTCCTCGTCATCATTGGGGTTTTCCTTCTGAAGGCGGTGCCTGACAATGGCCAACGGGATCCAGTAGTCAGCGTTCTCCATGAACTGAGACCGGCCTCCCAGCCCCTCCCAGTAATCAAAAGTCATGCTGGGTGCGTCCTCTTGCACCGAGATTTCTGGCTCCCATGTTTTCTCCCCTGTTCCCCAGAGGATCTCAAAATCGAAAACATCGGCGTTATTGCCCACGGAGAAGCTAAGAGGGTCTTTACGCTGGTGAGACACGATGCTTCTTAATTCCCATCGCTCTTCAATCGAGGCCATAGTGGCAGGTTGCGGTCTCAAGACTGAAAGACGATCAAGTAGAAAGTTGAAGGCTAGCCCTTGGTGAATTTTGAAGAATTGCTCTGGCTGCAGACGGCTCCCTGGGAGACTCAATGACGTTGTGTGTGTGCCGACTTTGGACTTCTGATAGCTGGGGATGAAGACCTCAACTTCCTCCTCTTACATAAGGTAAGGTAAAGTGAGGTAATGCAGGTAAGCGAGTTTTGTTCAGTGTGAATTAAAGCGTAAGGTACGTCCCGATGCTGCACGGTAGCAAGAGAGGAACCGTCCGCTTGAGACGGAGGCGAAACGTTGCTGCCGGTGACCAAAATGGCAGGAGTAAAGTCCGTCTCTCGACGTGCATTTTCAACGCATTCGTTCCAGCGCATTCGCTCCTGCATCTCTCGCAACATCACCACGCCCTCACCTCGCTGTCCGCAACTACAGAGATTCATTACCTTGACAAACGAGACCAGACTATCATGAGATACACCGGAAATTGTCGCAATTTCTCCATTCACGAGCGCGTACTACTCCGCCTACACCTGGTCTGGAGTCCCCAGACCAACACACGAGGCTGGCAAGAGGGAAGTCCGTCCCGCTCAAGGCGGTCCCCACATTCGAGATTGACGAGGCAAAACCCCACACGGCGCCCTGTTCCACTCGATTCATTGTTTCTCCTTCGAACTTTCTCGGCCAGGCGGGTGTGATGGAAGATGATGAGCAGAAGTGCCCAGAGATTTCAACGCCTTTACTACCGCGATGACCGGCCAAGTTTGACGCTCGGAAGCGAACGCCAGGTGGAAAAGACGGCGCGGATAGCAGTAGGAATGTGAGTGTTGAATATCGCGTGGCTTGTGGGTAACGTTCGACAGCTGACGGGAACCTAAAGCTCGACGGCAGCGCAGGAGTTGACGGACATCACCACCCATACTCTCTCGCCGTGCTTCTAAGCCATCGTTCCGAATTTGGACAGACATGCAGCATGTTAATCGACGAAGAACTGGAACTGATTGGTCATTAGGAACAAATCACCGTCTGTTGCGATACTCTCACCCAAGACCGCAGCCGTCGGGTTGCAGCCCATGCGAAAACTTTCTCCTATTCCAGGTCATTGTCATTTTCGCAGCATTGAAATCGAGTTAACGTAGGTTTTTGTGATTCTGACAACCCATGATTCATCGGGACTGACATTCATCCAGGAACGAGAGACACCGGAGTTCGCACGCCCATCGATGCAAGAGGATCAAGTTGCCGAGGAGCGTCAAGTTCTACGCCGTAGGCTAAGGCCCATTGAGCATGCCCTGCCGGCATTTGGCCCGATCGAAGCTAGCCCCTCTTGATATATGATCCCTCGCATTATGTTGCCGAGTTCCTCGCCATCTTTCCAGCCTCAATCGAGGCACCGCGTTAGGAAATGTCGAACCGCAACCGAGAAGCTGGCACACTTGAGATGTAGGGGTCACGACGGGCTACTTGGCCAGGTAACAGCCAGCCAACTTGACTACCCAAGAATGCCCTTTGCGCCCATTACATGCCTAGTAATTGACGGACTTATGGCCAGACAGTTCAGGCTTTGGATTGATCAGAGTTCTGCTGATTTTGGCTGCCCGTCGGATAACAGGTGGTCAAGGTCTACTCTCTCTTTTCTCATATTCTCTTATCTTTCTTCTTCTCTTCTGGGGGCGATCAGCTAACAATTTGGTACCAACTTTGGCATGTCACCTAGATGGCTATCGTATCGTCCAGACATCGTTCGAGCTTCCAAACCCCAGCTCAAGCAACCATCAATCTACCCGCCTTGCCGCGGCCTTGATCCTCCGTTCATAACTTGATCCGACATACCTTGACCATAGAGTCCACCAAGTCAACCTTGTTCTTCACATCTCCGCCCAGACTCGCAAGGTCAGCCGCCTTGAAGCCACGCCGCAATGAGGCCGCCTCTTTCCAGACCCCCTTGACCGCGGACCCGACGCCGGCGATACCCAGAACGATGCCGAAGATGCCCGCGACGGCGTTTTCTGGGCTCTCCGCGATGTCAATCGCGCCGCACACCGCGCTGCCGGCCTCCGCCGCCAGCGTCGCGACTCGGGCGATCATGACGATTCCCGTCACTGCCGTCAGCGCGCTACCAATGGCCGGTATGACGAAGAGGATCGCCGTGACGATCATGCCAATGATCCACTTGCGCTCGGTCTCCTCCAGCTCCTCCCCGATGTCGGCATTTTTGTTCATCGCCTCCGTCGCCGTCATGACCATGAACACCGGCAGCATGGCCCCGTCAATGACGTCTTCGGGAGAGGAGTCGGCAGGGAGATCGTTGATGTCTTTGGCTGTATCGCGGAGGACGTCTGGGAGCTTGCGGAGGTTGGAGATGGATTCTGCGACGGAGGATTTGGGATTTGGGACGTCGGCGTCCCTCTTCAGATGCGGCACGCCGTCGATGAAATACAAGCCGCATGGGCCGAAGTTGCAGCCGTGGCCGCTCCCGTTATCCTCTTGCGGGATCTGGACAAACTCAATGTTATCCCAGTCAATGGCGTACTCTTCTAGGATGAACTTCTTGAGCTTGTCCTCGTCCTTGACCTTGAGCACTATCTTGGCAGATAGCCCGGGGGATTTCTCAAAAGGCGGGCACGCATGATCAACAAGTCCACCGCCCTGCTTCCGGAAACAATCAAAGTGCTCGCCGAGATGTTTTGAGAAGAGGTTTGACATGCCGGCGCTCCACTGCTGCCGTAAAGCGTCTGCGAAATATTCAAACTTCTTGTCGTAGCCGTCGTCCATGATTTTGCCGTACTCACCGACGGCCTTCTCGAGCATCTTTCCCAGAGCCCCGATGACATATTTGCTGATGCAGTGGTTCGGAATGTTGCCCTTGTCGTTATGAACGTCATTAATGTTGTCGTAGGTGCCGTCGCATTTCGTGAGAGGCTTGAGTACGTAGTCCTCATTGTAATAGTCGTCGTAGGAATATGACTGAAGATCGATTGCCCAGTCGCTGGTTCCAGCCATGTGCCACATATCGTAAAGCGCCTTGCGGCCGGCCTTGTGCTCATCCGCCATGTAAGAAACATACTCGGTATCGTTGTAAACAATGATGTCCGCCAGCAGGTCGGACTTGATGTGGGTCAAGTAGTGTTCCCTCATCTCTTCGATCTCGGCGTTTGCAATGTAGCCCGGCTCGCCGGTGCATATTCCGGGGGTCGCCTCGGACTTGACCCTCGTGCCCGTGAAGAGACACCACTCCGAATAACAGTCCTGCTCGGCCATGTGGAAAGATCGTCCGTAGCTTGTTATGCCCACCGCGATCTTGTTGGAGGGCATGCCGGCCTTGGTCATCATAGACAGGGCCGTTATGGTCTCCGTCATATTGATGTGTGATCGGAGGCAGTTCCCAGAGGGGCATCCGGGGGATGTGAAGGCATTTCCATGGTCCCATTGACCGTGGAGATCGTAGGTCATGTACACCACATAGTCGACGAACGGGGCCATAATCTCTATGGGGTATGCTCGGAGATACCAGTAGGATGATGGCGCCGCGAAGGAGATGCTTTTGCCTTTAAGCATGGATTCCCTTAGCCGTTTGATGAAAACAGCTAGGAGGTCACCTTCAAGTTCATTCCCAGGCGGAGTGCCGTCGATATCCATGGCCTACTATCTGTTAGTGACGTATCCAGAGAGAAAAGGGCGAATGGATCCCACCTCCGGATACTCCCAATCGATATCAATACCATCAAGTTCGTGCTCTTCAAGGAAGTCGACGATGTTTCTTTGGAAGGCGGCTTGATTTTGTAGGAGAACAGCGCTCCGCAGAATATGGACCGTGGCTGCGTCGTTGCTGAAAGCCCATCCACCCAAGGAGACCACTTTCTTCACCCCCGTAAGTTTCTTGAATCGATCAAATTCTGTTTGAATGTTGGAGACGTCAATTTTGAAGTCTTCCGTCACGTTGGGAAACGCAAAATGAATATGGGTGTACTCGTCCGTAGATATTTGATCGGCACGCATGTTGAGGCAGGGTCTGTTAGCATTCCATGCACGCTGAGAGCGTTCCATGTGACTCCGGAGTACGCCTTTGGCAGGACTGTCATCGCAGTATTATCCGTCATACATTTCCCATCGGCCCATGTGACCGCAGCCTCTTGCACGAACGAGAAGTTGCCCACAGTGCTAGCTGCAACTCCCACAATGTAGTTAGCGCCGCGCTTCGGGTCGTTGTCGCAGAGCTCCATGAGGATGGAGTCGGAAGCTCCGTTCTGCTGGACCTCGGCGAGGACCTTCTCGAGCAGTGTTTCGTGAATTCCTTGCTGGCGGGCCCGGTGTCCTGTGTAAAGTCCCATCATAATATTGTCGCGAACCGAGCTAAATGCGAGAGTGGGCTGGTTGCCGTTGACTGTGGGTTTGTTGTTGACATAGTTGACAATCTGGCGGCCAGCGGCCAGCACATCATCCGTCAAATGTGCCTCGGCCTTTTTACCGCTCAAGGCTAGACGAATGGCAGAAGTGACGAGTTGCTCGTTCGATGGCCGGCTCTCAGTCGAGGCATCGTCATCTCTTCCGGTTAAAGGCGACGGCCTGTCAAAGTCTGCTGTGCATACCCTGATACTGGTCCTTGCGACACCATCAGGAAGATTGTTGAAGATGTTGACGTCGAATAACAGCGTTTCATTGCAAGCCTTCAGGCGATCGAGGTCGGCGTAAACTGCCCACTTCTAAGGGTAGGGCCCGACATCGCTGCAAAGGGATGGGCACCGTGACGCCTTGGCTGATGCAAAAACCTCCTGTTGTCTTTTCCAAGTGTCCAAGAGGCTGTCGAAAGTGCTGGGATGCAAAACGTCCGGGCGCGAGCGAGAGCTGTAGTCAACAATTTTTATCGAGTTGGCGTAATTCTCTAGCTGAGAAGTGTCCCAAGCTGCTGCCATTTGGGTAACCATGAGGCTCCAAAGAGCTAGAAGGAAGCTTATCATGTTTATGAGTCGGCTTTTGGGTAATAAAGAAAGGTCAAGTTGCAAAGAAGTGAGAATTGCTATTGCTGCTTGGAACGAAGAGAAGATGGAGACGCGAAAGCATACCGGCTGTTGCAAAATGCCAAATTGAGAAATACATCAGGTAGATAAACAATACGTCTCTGGATGTGGATGCACTGTATGGTCGGCAGCTGATCGAGATGCTCGCAACTTCCTGCTACAGCCTCAGCTTTCACCAACGTCGGTGTCCAACAACTCTCTCCTCGTGCGCTATTATGGTCCTAGGCAAACTCACATGATGTCCAAATAGACCAAGCAATTTCACACAGGCTGAGACGTAAGCTTACCAATGCGACCATGCCGTGTGAGATTGTCTGGAGCTGAGTCACGCACGACTGTTAATATTCGGCTTGTGAACTGCCTCCTCACGTTTTTCCAGATTTGGCAATTACCTTACAAGACTTTGAACCCAGAAATACACACCGAGGGCGGAGACGGGCAACTACCCGTAACATTGAGTTCTTCGTGTGAGGATGTCCAAGATCACCAGGCGTAAGCTGTTCACGGATACTTACAGGATGCACCAAACACGGCTACACCACACTGCCCCATCTTCGGGCAACGGAGAAGTAATACATGGGTTCTTGAGCTAGTTGAACATCTTCGTCTATTTGTGCCACGCAACTGAACCATCGTCCGACTCTACTCCCATTGATTGAGACAGAAGAGGTCCAACTGGCATCTTTACCTTGCTCCAAGCCAACTGATCTGATACAAAATGAAGCTGTTCCTTACTTGGTTCTTCCATCAGTCTTCTCAAATCTTCACCAGTTACAAACTCTGTATGCATTGTTGTTCCGGAAATGAAGGCTATCTACCTGCTCGTCCTGCTGTTTGCTGCACTCGGCGGTAGCGTCCAGAGCAACTCGGCAAGAATTCACATCGTAGAAAAGTTCTACTTCTATTTTAATTACAAGATCGAAGGAATCGTTGGCGGCGAGAGGACTTTTGCTCCGAACTGTGAGAATTGTGATTTCAAAAAGGTATATTTCGATTTCTCAAATCTCACAAGACGACGTGCTAATGCTCCCGAAGTTTGTTGACCACATCATCACGAAGACCGGCAAAAAAGATTTGAACTTCGGTGAACCAAGCACAGATATGAAGGAAATGAGAAAGCTTGTCACTCAGTTAGTGAAACCGCCTCATCATCAGAACGCGAGGAAACAGGTCAACATCCGTGACCTCATGCCCTCCGTCCCCAAGGACTCGGCTGAGCCATACAAGAAGCTCTACGAGAATACGAAAGCCTGGACCAACAACATCAAGACGAAAATCAATGCCCTTGATGACGCTCGCAAGAAGGAGGAAGCGAATGCATTGATGGACGCTGCCAAGATTGCGGTCGGAGAAATGGCGGCGATGCGGACGGCCGGCTATAAGAACGCCAAGTATGAAGCTTTTTCCGCCGAGTTTAGGGGGAAAGCGACAGCGACTACAGACGGTGAAGAAGGTGAGAAGTATCGCGTCGAGCTCTACGTCAAGGATATCAAGCCTGAGAACAATGGAGGAGTGTCTAAGTATAAGGAGGTTGATAGGGAAGAGCTGGATAAGAAGGGAACTGGTGCTGCACTGGAGATGATAAAATGGATGGATGAATGGGATGCGAAGGATGTTGACACGGCTCATTACTATCTCCATCCTAGTTACATTAAATTCAATGCACCAACCTTACCGGGCCCAAAATGACTAACCGCAAATTCACAATACGATTGGCCTCACCAAAGACCTTCTCGCAGGATCCTCGAGATAAGCAGATGCGCAGCAGAGTACGACCAGCATTCCGCGTCTTCCCTCACCGCAAAAGAGACTCAAGTCGCCTTCTGAATCTGCCAGATGAGATACTGTGGCGAATCACCGAGTTCATCGCCGACCAAGAAAGGGGCCATTTCTTGTCCTTCTTCGCTCTGGCTCATCGCGAGTGCCGGCAACTTGCTCGCCCACATCAATTTTCTGACGTCTGGATTACTCGTAGCGAGACATCCTGGGAGCTTCTCCGTCACATCAAGCGAGAGACCGAAGTTGAAGGACCAGCTATCGGGACATTTATCCGTTCCCTCACCATCACCGTCGACGAGGACCTATGTCTCGACTACGGGTGCGCCACGGATGACGAATACGAACAGTGGCGCGATTACTGGCAGGGTTTGATTGATGATTTGACCCAGGTCCTGGAATCCAGGTCCGCTATGCCTAATGTTGAGCGGGTGTTTTGGATGGATACAGGAGGGCTCGAAGTTCAACCACGTCTGCTCCGAGTTATGTTACAAAAGGCCTGTCCTTCTCTTTCTGGATGCCTGAGCGAGCTTCACTTCGCGGACTACAAGTTTCTTTTTGAAGACATTGATGATGTTGCGCCGTCTATGCCGGCGACTCCTTCATTATCCATACGCTCGATGTCATTTGGATACGATGAGAACCATACATCACTCTCGGATGCTCTAGACGGCTGCACTGCATACCTGGCCGAGATCATTCTCCGCCGTTCTGCGCTCACACTCGAGTCGTTCGTCTGGAATGCCCAATTCAAAGGGGAGATGGCTCCTGAAGACGACGACGGTACAACTTCCCTGCTGTTCTTCCGGGATGGCCCCATTGCTTTCAACCAGTTGCGGAAGTTCTGGTGCTCTCTCACTGCGGATGAGGGCATACAACCAAGTGTTCTCGAGAGCTTCCTGGCCGCCCCCCTGCTCGAGAATTTCTCACCCTCGGCTCACGTATCATTCCTGATATTGGCCCACGGACTGGTAGAAAAGTTCCCGCTCCCCAACCTCCGCACATTCGCTGTATCCGGCATCTCAGCTACCATGTCCAAAAACGAGGTGCCGGCCTACGTCGACACGGTGTTGACTCTAGCTGGCCACTACGCCCCGCAGATTGAGGAGCTTTTTGTCTACCTCCAGGGAAACCCGAAACAGTTGACTACCCACTTCTCAACCCACGACTTCCGCAACCTCAGGTCTTTGTGCTTTTCGTGGCCGCATGACCCAGAATTGGTCGTTCTCCAGGCCATCGGAACGCATCTCACCACCCTCGAGGAGCTGTCCTTTGGGTTCCAGCCCGCCAACGACCGTACCGGATTTGAGGACAACACGTGGGACAGCTCGAGTCAACTCTCTCACGAAGCCATCATTGCGGCCATCTCACCTCTGAAGAACCTGGTCAGGTTGTGTGTTTTCGGAGACGAGTACGTCGCGGATTGGAGCGGCGATCACTGGGCGTGGCATCGCTTCTTTGAGCAACACGTTGACTTCCACCAAGGTCGCAGCTACACTGTCAGAAAACGGGGACATCGTCCGGGAGAGGGACAGCTCTGGTCCGAGGCAATTCGAGGACACAAAAATTCAGGACACCAGGGAAATGATTGGATTACGCGATGGATTACAAACGAAGCTGAGGAACCGTACGCTGCGATGCTGGGGGTTGCTACGCGATACGCTTCTGCTCTCCCGAAGCTACAAGAGTTTATCGGTGGAAGGGTTTTGGTAGAGATTGCAAATAGTTTACAGTAAGGGCGATTACAGTCTTGTCCCTTGATACACCTTCAACTACCTTGCGTTTCCTTAACCCAGAAGGCAACCCTTGGTGTTTGTTGAATATCAATTAAGAAGTAATCCTTATACTTCTATTGTGATTCATCGCAACTCAATAAGTGGACTCCCAAGTTTCTATACACTCATCCTTCGTTCCGCAGTAGTCATGCGCCTAGTCACCAAAGTTCCCAAACCAGCTCTTATCGTCTGGTCGAGCTCCTTTCTCAACGTTCAGCAGGAAGCAGAACTTCTTTTCCTCTTCTCTTACCGTCAAAGTCATTCAAAGAGCCGTGCCTAGCAGATATTTCCCACGTATCTTCCTGGACGCCATAAGACGAATAGTGGGTCGTCGAAATCTGTTTGAGCGAATATTCTCAATGCGAGAGTCTAAAGCTCCGAGATGTTGGCACCCCTATCATCAGTCCTTTCACTTCACGAGATCCTGGCTTATTTCTCTTAACCCCCCACACCTTGGTCAGCCCCCGGCATAAGACGATATGTTCATGAAATACCGGGATTCCTGTCCAGGAGACAGATATGCCTTCCACATCTTCACCCAGAGCTTGTTGCCTCAGAGTTGGCACACACTCGTCCTCTGGGTCAACCTTCACTTTGAAGCCAAACGGTCTGTTGCCAGCAATCGAGGCAAGACCCAAAAGAAGTATGCAGCACTTGCAGGCTCTCCTCTGAACCATCGTCGAAGACCTCTCTTGGGCGCAAGCAAGCATGAGATCGTCGGCCAATCATTCAAGCTGGATGCTTGCCATCGTGTAAAAGTAAGTACCTGACAGATTCCTCTAAGACATGCAATCGACCGCACCACCACCTTTCACTTTCAGCAAGAAGGGATTTCAGATTCTGTGTTCAGACCTACGATAAGATCATCTTAATTGGAAATAGCTGCTAGAACTACTTCGACAGTCATATCTGTCAAGTCGGCTACCAGCGACACCACCAACCGTGGGCACAAAATTCCCCATCACTAAATGGTATGTCAGTGAGTCCACTCCGCTGACTTGCAGCCAGTCAGTAACGAACGGTCTTGCGAGATACGGGCGCACGGAACGAGGTGAACGTACCGATATACCAGGTTCATGAACTATCTCTGGTAGTTATAGTATCATGTTGCGTCCTTCTCAAGCTTCCACCAGGGAAGAAATCCAGCTACAACAGCAATGCCTGCACTCTTGCACACGAAAACCACATTTTCACTCTCAATTCTGTTCAATTTGAAGTTTCCGTCCATTGCCCGGTAACACAGTGTTCAAGCCAGACTTCTGGGTGGTCTATTTAGTCAAACACATTTCTGTGGCGCAATCGTTTGGTTTGCTCCCAATACAGTTAAGTCATCCACTCCAGTAGCCGCCAGGCTCGATGCGCTTATGACTGGACTTATTATGAACGTTTCCAAACTTTGGATAGGACACGTCAGTAGGGAAACTGTACGGTTGGCACGAAAGGTCAATAAAGCGGTATTGATTGCTGGATACAGAAGTGGAAGGAGGAGGAAGCGGGCAGAGCCCATGATGATTCAGATGTGGTCTGTAAGTGGAAGGGCCGTTTTCATGGTCCAGATCGACTTCCATACTCAGCTTATCTGTCGATTGCCCCGAACTCAACCGCAATAAATGCTCCCGCCGCATGTCGTCCACGGGACTGGTGAATACCCTCATACGCCGAACGTCTCGAGCTTACAGTTGGAATGCTCCAGTCTGCTGGTGAGAATAGTGACTCATATTCGGGCGGATCTTCATACAGCGTCTTCGAGACATCTTTCCAAATATAGGAACAATAATCGGGCTTGACGATGATGTCTCCCCAGGCACTATTGACTTTTCATGACTTCCGGTGCTGTGTCTTTGAGAATGTTGTTCACGATGTTATTGAGCTTAGGTTTGCCCTTGATATACGGTCAGTGACTTCTGTGTCGTCAGTCTTGCCCCAGTCAAGGATCATGCCTCTCCGGATCATACCGAGCACCGAAGACAATTGAGTGGCCAGACCTGGATATCGGACTTGCCCAGGGCATTTGCGGAAAAGGCGGCCGTCTTCTCAGCAATGCTCCTGGGTCAGTTCCTTTCAAGTTGGCTGAGGAATATAAACCACGGCATATTCATTGGCGCAATCGAGACTTTCCCCAGTGACTGATGTCTGTCTGGACTTCTGGAAAGTTGGAGAAATCGGTAAAGTCAGCGGGCGCATCGTCAATACTTCGATAGAGCCCGCAAACAAAAGGTTTATGTTCAAATTGTAGGAGGAACCGAATACTTTCTTTACGATTGTCAATACTCTACAACTTCTGAAATAAGATTCTTGGAATAATTATAGTCTAATTAGGGGAGGTCGTCATGAGCGATACCGTGGCTCGTTGGAAGACCCTACCTACTCGTGCGCATGGAAGCGGACTAGGGAATAGCGGCCTTGGGCTCAGCTTCCTTGGCTATGAGAAATGAGGTTTGGCCTGCCGCTGAAGTCGAAACCAAGTAAGCATGAGAAAAAGTAATGTGTGCGCAGTGAAAACATGCTTCGATTCAGAAGGCATGACAGTGGCCTGAGTACGAAGAGTTCGGATGCGGCCGCTCTCTTCTTATTCACCGCGGCCCTACCCTGTACGCTCCGACTCGGAGTTCAGACTACAGGCGAACTCTTGGAGAAGCTGCGTGCGGAGTTGCAGGGATGGCGCTCGCGTTTGCACAGGTTTGAACGCCCATACATACTACGAGTCTAGATCTGCGGATCCCTGCTTAGAGAGCTTGAAGGTTGTTTGATCGCGTTCATTTGCTTCAATCCGAACTGGCCATCCACAGCTGACTGTTCACACCGCATCATTCTAATCTCGGACCAATAGGATTACGGACGTGAAGCAATTCCTTAGTGGACGTGAGAGATTGTTCGGGAAAGAAACCGCCCGTCAGCTTTTTGAGGGTTGCCAACCCCTGCACTGCTGCCTGGAAAGCACGTGAGGGAATTGACAATTCGGGCAGGACATGGACGTCTGTATCTCAACTTATAATGAGGATGATGTCTATTTAAATACTTGCGGAACGCCATAACTCAACTACTATTAACTGCTCTTTACCAATGCTGCACCTTTGGAACCCCATCTAAAAGACATGGCTAGATACGTCGCAGCACACCAACATCCCCAGGGTCCGGGAGACTCACGGCCCGTCGCCTTGCAAATCATCCAAGACGAAGGACTTGCTGGTGGTGGGCTGTCTCGAAAGACCGCGCTTGTGACAGGAGCGAACAGGGGCATCGGCCTCGAAACAGCGCGGGCTCTACACGCAGCCGGCGCAACCGTCTTCCTTGGTGTCAGAGACCTCAAATGTGGCGAGGAGGCTATGAAAGATATCATTGCGACTTCACCTACAGACGGCGGTGCACCAATTCTACTACTTGAGTTGTCTCTCGACTCCCTCGCCTCTGTGCGTAACGCGGCGCAAACCTTTCTCGTAAAGAACAGCCACAAAATCAACATACTTGTCCTCAACGCGGGAGTCATGGCATGCCCCAAGAGTAGCACCATCGACGGGTTCGAGACACATTTCGCGACGAACCATCTTGGTCATTTTCTTCTCTTTAGGCTACTACAGCCAGCATTGCTAGCCTCTTCATCCCCTTCCTTCAACTCTCGCGTGGTCTCCGTCACTTCGTCCCTCCATCGACTTAGTCCGATCGATTTCAACGACTTCAACTACAACCACCTACCATATCACGGGCTCAGGGCCTACGCAAGATCCAAAACGGCCAACGTTTACTTGGCCAACGAGATTGAGCGTCGGTTCGGGGATAAGGGACTGCATGCCATTTCTGTGCATCCAGGCAGCGTGTTGACCATGATTTCCCGGCACATGGAAGATGACCCGCTTAAAATGCCTGAAGGGGACTGGGAAGAGATCCGGTATCTGAAGAACGCGGCCCAGGGAGCGGCAACAAGTGTGCTGGCGGCGGTCGGTGCTGAATGGGAAGGGAGGGGAGGGCGATATCTTGCTGATTGCGTGGAGCAGAAATTGGCGGTTGATCCATCTTCTCAGACCGACACCGGATACGCCTCATGGGCTTTTGATGAACAGGCAGCGAACAGATTGTGGGAGGAGTCTTGCAGGATGACTGCACTTGAGGACGGTAAATAAGTCATGTCTAGATTACAGCAGCTCACATATGAATTTATAGTGGCATCCGCGATAGTTTTCCTCATTCGAGAAGTTTCATATTGGGCTATTCTCGTGTGCTCACTGATAGCCTCCTTTGGCCAATTCCCACACACCCTTTCTATTCCCTGCTACATATCCACGATTCCCATGGTGATGCCCAGGCATAAGATTGCACACTCGATATAGCAACCAGAGAGTACCCAAAGTTAATCTGCTGCGAACGAAGCACCAAGTACCCCTTCTTTCATAATAGTTGGTGTTGATACGTGACTCAACTAGTAGGGTACTGCCCTCTGAATGTCTCTTTGTGTGAGAAAGCTGCAAAATTAAACCTGCAATCATCTTTCTGGCATGTAAAATCCTCGTATGAAAGCAACACTTGATGGGATCTAGATCAAAAGACTCCACGAACAAGGTGATAGGTTGCCCCAAAACCCGGCGGTTGTGAGGGCAAGTCGAGGAAGATAATCGCCCGCAGTCCGCTAAGCAGCCAGTTGTGCGTTACTTGGTAAATTTGAAAGCCTCATAGTCTAGCGGTCGGAAATGGCATCTTTCTGGCGCAGAGGTCTACACCGTTACTATTTCTCCCCGCAGCGTGAGTAGACATTTCTATGTGCAGATCAGAGCTAAAATGAAGAGGAAGAGGTTTCACAAGCTTAACAAACTTGCAAGGTAGCCACAATGCTATCCGAGTCTGGGCCCTACGAGTTCCTCCCCATGCTGCGCTTGAAAAGTGTTGCCGCTGCGTAGATTGAGTAGAATGGCTAGAGGCGTTTTGGTCAACAGTCACTGAACTGCCGATCGGAAGCGGAAACTCGCGGTCGACATATACATGACACCATTCTCACCCATGTGATGACTGGTAGGGCAGGTGATGCACAGCCTAAGTCACAAAACATCATGACCCGAGTATGCTCTTTGTTCTCTTCTCAGCAGAGCCACATTGACAAAGTAGAAGCAGCCCGGTCTGTTGCGGCTCGGCTCGTCATTTTCTAGAAGAATGCGCCCGCTGTCTCCTAATTGCCCAAAAGGGTAGGTAAGATTCCGGTATAAGTAGGTACGTGAAGTATGAAAAGTTATGGAGGTATCCGCTTGACCAATGTGCTCATGCCGTCTTGCGATCTTCATCCTGTACGACCGCCTAACGAGTAGTCGCCATCATCTTGTTCGATCCCTTCTATCCAAGCTTGCCACAAAAAGATCACAGCCTTAGGTTCCCCGCTGCCTAATCTGGCTCCGATCTTCATTAGAAATCTAAACACGCGGTGCAGGACTGAAAATTGTTGGAGAAAGGGATCCGCGGGCCAGTGATGTAGAGAGCCTTCAACCCGCCATTTATCACTACGGGAGTGACTACCCTCTGAGCTATCTCCAGCTCGTCGAGCTGTTTTCTCTCTCCTTTTAAGGTTGGTCCAGTATGCTCTCGGGGATGGTTGGTGAGTGGACCGGAAACTTTATGTTAGGGGGACCCCTTTACCAAACTCCTCGCTACGGCACTCACGATTGGAGTCTTCATGTTTGTGTCCACAACACAGGTCAGTTGGTTCGAATCAGTTGATCCATAGCGTGACAAAGTATAAGCCGACCTATGTACTGATTTTAACGTAAGTACGGGCAGTTGGGAATTGATAAAGCCCCGAACCCGTGATTGACTTGAAGGGACCGACAACTCATATTGCTCCCTGGCATGCCCAATATTGGACCGTTGGTGCGTTGGATGCATTGGTTCACTTGTACGAGTAGCCTCTACGGGGGTGGCCCACGACATGAGACGCTGTCAACAAACCATCGCCTACCCGCCATCAGGCATCTATTACATAATCATCCATCCACGCTTACATAAGTAATGCACCTTCTCGGGTGTACCCCACCATCCGAACCAATGGAAGCAGCTCGCTGAGGTTCCACGTGATCTCAGAAGCCCGTGCCTCGTACCGATCGATACCTTACCGGACTTTGCCCGGGAAATCGCCGGGCAATAGCCTCTCCCACTCACGTGCCTTTGAACCCTCGGGCCGCAACAACATTTCCCGGGCTGGCGTCGCCGGGGGAAACAAAACAAAAACGTATCACAACGACACTGCTCATTGATTTATATCGCTCTGACGCACGAATGAGTCTAAAAAAGACTCCATGTTACAACTAGTTGCGTCTAGGTCTCGTATCTCTCTTGGAAAGTGGGATTGAAGAAAGTACCATGGGCATTAGCGTGGTAGTTGGCGGATATCATGGGTTAGACCGAGTGTGTAACCTCCACCTCGTCAGCTTCCGCCTTCTGCATGCGCTTTATCGCGATGTCTTGCTTTTGCTTGTCGTTTATTTGTTGCACTTCTTGGTCCAGCCTGCTGTTACCAACCTTGGTATGCCACGGGTGTGGTCCATCGTTGGCAAACATTATCTCAACTTCCTCGAGCGTCTTTCCACATGTCTCTGGGTACATGAAGAATGCAAAGACCGCGGCACAAAAGCACAAACAACCAAAGATAACAAACAGACCGAAATCAATCTCGCGAAAGGCGGGGGGTACAAAGAGTCCTAGGGCGAAGTTGAAGATCCAGTTACCAATAGTCGCAATGCCCATCCCTGTTGCTCTTGTTCCCAACGACCAGACTTCAGCAGAGAACACCCACGTCACGGGCGCCAGAGTAAAGTAGTACACCATAATGAGAAGATAAGAGAAGGCGATGATGACGTGAGATGGTCGTCCAACGACTTTGACAAGGACATTCAGGTTACCAGCCACGCCTCCTGGCGCCGGTTGCTTGAACGCCGCAATCATTGCGCCAATGATGAAGTGACATATTCCCATGCCAATGGCGCCGTAAATCAGTAGTGGACGGCGTCCAGTTCGGTTGATGTAGAAGAACGCAACAATCGTACAGAGGAGGGCGAGAATGTAGTTGATGCTTGATGCGATAAGGTTGATGTTGCCAGTCAAGTTTGCCATTTGGAAGAGGTAGACGACGTAGTATGTTATAACGTTCTGGCTCAATAGTTAGTATCCCCTGTTATAGAAACCAACAACACGACGTGGTAGGAAGTCTCGTTCTTCTCCTCATCGGACCCATGATGTCGCATGGGCGCCAGAACGCTTTGCAATCTGTCGAGATATAATGGACATGGAGTAATATGAGTACTTACCGCTCCTGCCATTTGCTGCCAGGCTTGAACCATGAAGCCAACAAGCGTCCGCCTCCACATGCCATTACTAACAAACTTGCGCCATCCGCGCCCTACCTCGCGTTCGACGCGCAAGGTGTTTTGGATTTCTTCCAACTCGGCCAAGACCGCGGGATCATCGATATTCCCCCCGGCTTGGACATTGGCGAGTACAATAAGTGCCTCGTTCGTTCTGTCTTTCGACAACAGCCAGCGTGGGGACTCGGGAAGAAACAGCAAACCGACCATCAACAGGGCGCAGGGAACAAACTGCACCGCCCACGTAGTCCGGAATGATGCCGGGCCCGGGATGAAGCTGCAGCCGTAACCCACGAAAAAGTAGACGGTGAATCCGACGTCAATGGCAAGCTGTTGAATAATGATGATGGATCCTCTCTTATCGTGCTTCGCAATTTCCGCAAGGTAAACGGGTACCTGAGAGCTGGTGACGCCGACTGTGATGCCATTAATGATCCTTCCGGCAAGCAGCATTTGCCAATTTTGTACAGCGGTTTGAATAACAGTGCCTGCCATCCAGAATGTGCAAGACCACCAGATGGCATCGCGGCGCCCAATCTTATCCGAGACGTAACCAGCTAGGGCAGATCCGAGTACAGATCCGGCAGCCAGGGCCGACCCTATCGCGCCCTGCCGAGCACCAGTCGGGTTGTCGAAGAATTCCAGATATTGATTCGTGCCGACTACAGCCGACATGGAGGAGATGTCGAAACCAAATCTGCGGATCAATTAGCAAAGCTTCAGGCACACAAAAAGCCTCAGGGAACGTATGCTTACAACATCCCTCCAACAGTTGAAATAAGAGCCAGAAAGTAGACATTATACGTCTTTGGAAGATTTAATCCTAGCATTGTGTTGATTCTGCGCTATATGGAGAAGGAGGTGCCCAAAGAATTGTGCGTATTTTGGTAGAAGTCTATTTGCGTTTATATCGTTTCGGTGAAGCTTCTGTCCATGTGAAATATTCCTCTGATCAGGGACAGATAAGGATATATGCCGATGCAAAGTAGATCGGAAACGCGGAAATGTCTTCCCCGACTTGTAGAGCGGTAGGAAAGCTAAACAAGCCCCGGGGTAGAAGACGACAAAAACATCCGGAAAAGCGGCAACGTAAGTTGCAAGCCTTCGGTGGCTGCGAACAAACCCATATTCTACTTCTTACGGAACCTCCTTCAGCCGCATGGGGCAAGGCCTTTGCCACCTTTTCCCCCTCGCTACTGTACATTGTCTGGCGTTCGATTAATCAAGTAGGACGACAGGGCAAAGCTCCGTAACCATCACCCTGCAGCATCCATCAAACTGACTGATTCACAAGACAGATTTCGATTCGACTTGATGGCTTACCAGTAAAGAGTGGTACCCGTACTTCAGTCGATGCCAGGTGAGGTCAGGTTCCTTGCCAACGAAAATTCCAATATTTTCCCAAACAGTAAACAGACAAATCTTTCTAAACCTCCCATGCTAACTCAGCCGAGTGACACAGAATCAAGCACAGAATGTGCCGGCTTTCTCCCAAGGAGTAATAGATGCCACCCCCAGACCTTCAGGGCGCAATGAATCACGTTTCATGTGCCCATAATTCACTCATAATAACAGGGGTTTCTCCAATTCTACTTTCATCGACTCTAGAAATCCTTGCTACTTGAATATACTTTGTTATTCCAAGTATGGGGCGGGACTGATTCCTTCGAGGATAGCCTTGATTCTAAGAGCTAGCTTCTGCGAGTGGAAACGCGCAGGTTGAAGCGAACCCACCATAAGCCATAAATCCTCGACCCCAGTGAACTTCCAAGCCGCATTTAGCTCGCCCTCTTCATCCATGCCCCAGATCGGCTTGAACCGGTCAGCAATATCGTCGCCAAAGACCTGTCGCACCGACTCCACGGTGCTAGAGAACCCGGTGGCCAAGACGACAAGATCGTACTCTCGAGTACGGTCTCCGTTGAGTACCACAGATCTATCTGTGAAGTGAGAAATGTACCCTTGTTCAACCTTGATGTCGCCATCGATGACTGCTTTGCAAGCGCCGGCATCGAAATAAAAGCCCCCATTTCGGGTGTAAGCAAGAGTATGGGGACCAGTGTCGCGTTGACCACGCCAGACCTTGAAGCCAGCCTTCTCCATTTTGGCAATTAGCTCAGCATCCGCATTCCATATGTCTTGCGCCGTCCTTCGGAACAGCTCCTCCTGAGGTCCAACAGGTAGACCATGCGCGATGCGATCCGCCGCGGCCACATCAGGCCTCTTGCCATCCTTGGGGGCATACAGGGGAGCAACCATCTACCACGGTCAGCGCTGCTTGGGGGATTCACAATACCAAGAAAAACGTACCCTGGGGACCGACTCATCCAATGACATGACGTAAGCAGGCGATCTTTGCAGCAGGGTCACGTCAATGCCACGTCGAGCAAAATCAAAGGCGGTGTCAAAGCCAGAGGAAGACGTGCCAACCACAAGCACCTTTTTCCCAACCCACTCGCGAGCCGAGTCATGCTGAGTCGAATGTCTGACTACGCCTTTGAACTTGTCCATGCCGGGAATGTCCGGTATGAATGGTACCCCGGCAAGAGAGGTGGCGAAGATGACCTGCTTGGGATGAAAGGTTCGAGTCGACGCGGCGTCGCCGGTGCCCCGAGCTATGACGACCTGCCAACGTCCCGCGGCATCTTTCTCAGCAGACTTGACGGAGGAGTCGGTCCAGGCGTGAAGTTCCATGGCACTTGCGTACCACTCAAGCCAGTCTCCCATTTTCGCGGCCGGGGTATAAGTCGGCCAATGTTCGGGGAACGGAAAGTAGGGAAAATGATCTCCCCAGTGTGGTAAATGCAGCGAAAGATATTCGTATCGATTGCGCCAGTTATCGCCAATGCGCTTGTTCCGCTCAACCAATAGGGTGGTAACGCCGAGAGTCTTTAAGCGCGCAGAGATTTGGAGACCGCTGAGGAGATTATCAAGTCAGCCTCGTGTGTGTGTTTGTGTGTGTGTGTGTGTCAGTCAGGCATGGGAAACATACCAGTGGCCTCCCCCGATGACGATTACCTCGGGTTCCACACCTTCAAGGCTATCATCCTGTGCTCTTTGTTCATACCACGACTTGAACCCAGTCATATGGCCATCTTTGCTCGGTAGTTCAGGAACACCTCGCAACCCTTCGATGACCGTATGCAGCGTCCAGATCTTGTATCCCGAATCGGTCTTGACAACATTCAAAACGGCGCTGGCATGCGTGAGGTCCGTGTCGAATGAGTATACGATTTGAAGCCAGGCCAAGTCCGGGTAAGGTCGTTCAACGGACGGTTTCGGGTCCAAAAAGGCGTAATTCCAGGTGGGCGTGCGAGGGAACAGATCAGCAGCCGCTTTCTCGATTCTTTCGGGGCCGTTAAAAGTCCGATAATCCCATGTGTAAACAAGCTTATCTCTCCACACCCCTGTCCGCGATGAAATGTGAGTGTTCGTCGAAGCAAGACCGTGTTACGGAGCACGGAACGTACCGCTCGCCAAGAAAAGTCCAGAAAATGTTTTGGAGTCCTTGGCTTGGATGGCCTGTTCCAGCTTCTTCAAAATCTCTTCAGCGATAGTTTGCTTGCTCTTCTCGTCGTCGGCAGTGAAGTCAACCACATCGGTACCTTTGCCATGTAGAGGAAGCGGGTTATTGTGCTTGAAAGCGTACATGAAGTCATCAGCGACAGGCGCCTTCAGGTTGCGATTGAGATAATGGTACGGCGCATTTTTAACGTTCTCGATATCCGCTTCGGAGACAAATTGAGAGTTGGAGTAGGAGCCCATCTTGCCGCGATTTGGCGCTGTCACAGCCAAATTTGATTCGGATAGGTTATCAACGGTTTTCAAGGGTGTTGCTTTGTGCTCGTTGCTCGTAGCATGCACCTCTAATAGTTCGGCGGTCCTGAGGCTATGTATTCGTTCACGCCGTATTGCTGAAGCCTGAGCGTTCTGTTGACATTCGGAAAATCGGCAAACGCGCCGGAACAGTGTCGCGATATCAGGACATCTTGAAGTGGGGGTTCACCGGCTGCCGGAAGACGAAGTTGCTGTTTCTCACTTCCGAACCAGATGACACCTTTTTCAAACTCGTTTTCCGCAAATCAGGTACATGTTTAGCAAGAATCGATAACTCGTGTTTTCAACGCGCCGCGGTCGATCAAAAGAGTGGTTTCTTCTTTCAGACAGATTGTAGAGTTCCAAAGTAATGATTAGATTTCGGTGGCGGGCAGACATCAGTAGCGCATGAGTTTCTCGGTGGGAAGTTATACCAATAGCAATAGCACATCAAGTTCCACAGGTTGGCAGAATACATGACACGCGAACACGCCAAATAGTCCTCCCATCGCGGACCGCTTGATGACGCTTAAGACGCGGCGAAGCAGCGGCAATCAAGCTTATATGATGTGTATTTTCTCGGACACGCTTCGATGAGTCGAAACCAGTCTTTTTGTGAAATCACTTACTCTGCTCTTCAGCTATTAGGAGTTAGTCATCGAACTTCCATCGATGATGAATACATTGGCGACTCCTGTTCTTTCTACCCTCATTGACCATGTTCGGACCCTTTTGCTGAATGAATAGCCTTGAATGGATCTGGTCTCGCATTTTGATATGTACGACTTGATACTAATCTACAGAGCTATCTTTGATGGAGGAGGCAGTGGTTCCTCAGAGACCATGGGCTGACTCTGGTCGACGCGGACAAGAATCTTGACGTGACGATCCTTGTGGTTCATTAACTCTTTGATTCCCTTCTCTTCCAAATCCTTCATATCAATGCGTGACGTAATGAAGTTCTCCACTTCCCTCTTGGTGATTCTATTGTCGGCCAAAGCCTGGATAACTCCATGGTAGTCGTCTGGCGTAAAGGAAAGATCTGCCTTGAGTGTCTTGCCATTGTATAACAGCTCGTTGATATCGATTTGGGGCTGCGCTAGTTAGGATTTGTGTATGACTAGAATGTGTTCGCACTAACCTTCGTCACCCAAACGGCGATGTTGTAGAATACGCCATACTTACGAATGGCCTTCAATCCTGTCGTGAGAGTTGCCTGGACTCCGGAAGCGTCAAATGCGTAGTGAGGCCCAAGACTAGACGATTTCATCAGTTTGTTGGTTCTCGGGAGTGCCCAATGGCTACCCGGGGTACATACCCATCACAAAGGTCCTTGGCACCCTGAACGACATCGTCAATGTTGGGATTGAAACAGTGAGTTGCACCAATCTTTGACGCTTGCGCGTGTCTAGCAAGGGACGGCTCGGAAGCCAAAATTTTGGTTACGCCTCGCGCTCGTAGACAAAGAATCAAGGCCAAGCCGATAGGTCCAGCGCCAAAGATAATGGCAGACTGCCCTGGCTGGATTCCCGACTGCGTGACGCCGTGCCAGGCAACCGACAAAGGCTCAACGAGAGCGCCAGCGTCAAGACCAACGTGAGCAGGCAAAATATGGCAGATGAAAGCAGGGATAACAATGTCCTCGCATAGACCTCCAGGGCTAGTGGAAAGCCCGAGAAAAGCCGTCTGGTCGCACGCATTCCGGCGTTTGTTTTTGCACTGCTCGCAAGTATCGTCGGTCAGAAGGCCCTCAACGGCAACCGCATCGCCGATCTTGTGCGACGTTACCGAGGGGTGCACCTCGGTAACAACGCCTGAGAACTCGTGGCCGAAGATCAAAGGCCGATGGTGACCGGTCAGCGGATGAGGGGACTCCTTGCTGTAAGAGACGAAAGGACCATGGCTATACTCGTGAACATCGGTTCCGCAAATGCCGCACCAGGCTGGTTTGAGACGAAGTTCACCAGGCTTCAGCGTGGTGACAATAGGGACATCCTCGTAACGCACGTCCTTGTTGCCATAGTATCGAATGGCCTTGACGGTTTTCGCTGTGGTGGTCGCAGACATGGTGAAGGAATAGTACTATTGGAGAATTTATCTGGGTAAGATGTGTCGAACTGAGCGCGACGTTTTCATATTTCAGGCAAGTGATGCGTCTTATACTGATTCCACGGTTCCCTGATCCGTTCAAAGCATTCATGCTGTCGTATCATGACGAATACCTAATACGGAAGCCGATAATACCGGTTCGGAAGTAGCACAAGTCCAACGGCAACTCACACGGCTATTTTCCGATATGCGACTTTTGCCAACATTTCCGCTCCCCTACCTGTTTCTCGAGGTTTTCGGATAGGAAATTCTCAGTGTCATCAGGTGGGAATTCAGCTTTCGAGAAAGTAGTTTTTGTGGAAGTACGGAAGTGGCATCAATTTGAACTGGCTGGACCAACACGGGCAACACACGGCCATCAGACTAGCCAACTAGAACATAGGAAATTGAGTACCTTGAAGTAAAAGAACTCCTAAACTGCATGGGTGTAAAGAACATTTTCATTCAGTCAATAAGTCATGATTGATCTACAGTGCTCGGCACCCCGACTTTAGCGCAGAGTAACAACAGGCTTTACAAACAATTGCTGAAAAACATCTCTGTGATTACTCGTTAAGCAGCGGAGAGAGATACATGCAAGGTGGTGAGCAACCGACAAAGGTCGACGCCGTAACCCTTGAGTACACCGCGCTCAAGATTATCGGAAGGGCATCTCCGCCTTTCAGATGAGAGCCGCTGGGTTGATTTCCGATAGCCGACCGTCGCGGCGACATACCGCCACGTGAACGTCCGGATTTCTCAAAGGGAAAATAGAAGTAGTTGGCCGCTTCTCCGCAAGCATCGGGAGAACAGACAATTGTCTCGTTGACAAATGGTTTCCGAACTAACTCCAAAAGCATATAGCTTCAAGATTTTCAGCATGCTCCATTGTCCCAAACCATCTACCTACTTCTTTCGACACGCGCCTCCTGTCGTTTACCCAAAGCCTCGGGTATAACTCTTTCCTCTCGGACATCACTTAGTTCTTCTTTTGCTCCTCTCGGAAGTCACGCCAAAATGGTTCGTGGCGAACTCCCCTCGATCGGGTTTATTGGACTTGGCGCCATGGGCTTCGGAATGGCCACAAACCTCGTTCGAGAAGGATACAAAGTCAAAGGTTTCGACATCTCCGACGAAATCCTAAAACAGTTCGTCGCTGCTGGCGGCACTGCTGTAACCTCACCAGCCGAGGCTGCCAGAGATCAACATGTTTGCATCTGCATGGTAGCGACGCCTCTACAAGCCCAGACAGTTCTGCTAGACGGCAAAGACCCGGCCGTGCCAGCGCTTCCCATTGGCGCCGTTCTACTTCTCTGCTCCACCGTACCCTGCGGCTACGTACAGAACCTCTCTGAACAAATAGCCAACTGCGATAGAGCAGACATCGCGTTGATCGACTGTCCAGTTTCTGGCGGAGCCATCAGAGCTGCGAACGGCTCCCTATCGATTATGGCCGGTGCCTCAAAAGAGGCTATTGGTAAGGGTCAGGATGTTTTGCAGGCCATGTCCGACCCGGCGAAACTTTACATTGTTGATGGTGGTATTGGCGCTGGTAGCAACATGAAGATGTGTCACCAAGTCCTCGCATCGAATCAAATTCTGGCTGCTAGCGAGGCCATGGGTCTTGCGAGCCGCCTGGGTCTTAGCCTTGAGACGACTGGCAAACACATCATCACCTCAGACGCATGGAGCTGGATGTTCGAAAATAGGCTTCCCCGCATTCTCAATCCGTCCCTGAAACTGGCCAGTGCGGTTACTATCATCCTCAAAGACACCAGCATCATCACATCTGAAGCCCGGCGAGCTGGGTTCCCTTGCCACATGACTTCTATAGCGGAGCAAGTGTACTTCACAGGCCTGGGTCGCGGATGGGGTTCGGACGACGACAGCACCTTGATCCGCCTATACACGGAGGGTAAAGGCGGCGTTGGTCCTGTAAAGGCAGAGGCTGAGAGCGACGACGCCAAGTTGAAGTTAGTAGTGGACCTTCTTCGCGGGATCCATCTCTGTGCAGCAGCTGAGACCTTGGCCTTTGCTGAGTTCCTCGGTCTTAATTTACACCAGGTGCATGAGCTTTGTGTCAACGCGGCTGGAGGCAGCCGTCTACTGACAAAGTTTGGCCCGGAGATGGTGCAGTGTCTGAGACCTGGAACAAAGGTGCAGCATGAGGCGGCGACGGCGGCTGAGCAACAAGGAGGGCTTGGAGAACTTCTGCGCGACGTCGAGAACGCTGTGGAAGAGGCGCAGAGATTGAAAGTTCCTGTATTCCTAGCCACCCAAGCATTGAATCTTCTACGAAGAGCGGCACGAGCTGGAAGGGGCAAAACATTGTCTGGTGTGACGGCTGGAGCTTTAGTCCGGGTCTGGGAACCATGAGGCAATTCGTTCGGTTTGTCTGGGATATTGCTTGGTTATGACTACATCAAATTCCCTACTACTCTCAATGGGATAGATTCTGCATCTAAGATAAGAGGGCGGATGGAGGAAGCTTACTTGGGGTTGAATGTATGTACCAAAGTTACGGAAAACAAACTGCCGCATTTCCGCATTTCCGAAAAAATGCAAACCGTATCCATCACGCCAACCTCGTGGGAAAAGAGAAAAAACAATAAAATGTGACTTCGAAAAAAGCGAAGGCCTCATATGTGATTCAGCAATTTGTAAGAGAAATTGCCTTGTGAATCAGAAAGAAGAGATACGTTATTCACATGGGGGTCGCGAGGTTGCTGGAATTCATCAGCTATATTAATTAAAACTAAATCCCCGGGAGAACATGCAAGGCGAAAAAGGTGTCGTTGCAACTACCCCAGACCCACCTCTGGGAGGGATTAGGCGGAACCCTTTTACATTGCAGTGCCTATCCCAGACGGGGTCAACCAAAGTCACCAAAGGATGGTAGCCTAGGACGGGATAGTTTGTGGGGAAGGGGGGCTTGAAGATCGCGTGAGGGGAAGTTTAGTACATTCAATATACACTTAACTGACTTGTGTGCCTACACAGCAATCATCACGATTTCAATTACCTACATAATCAGGTTGTCTGTGGTCGATGCGCGCGGCGTTCAACAACTGTCCTACCTATGTTCAGGGACTGCATTGGACCACTTGATTGATTTCGAACTCTTTCAAACATTAACTCCTCTTCAGTCTCTTCTCTTCGGTCACTATCAACACAATGACGCGTGGCAGAAACGCCAGACGAGCCAGCTACGCCTGTGTACGCTGTAAGAAGGATAAGCGGAGATGCGACATCTCCAGCTCGTCTGCTAGAGATCCCGATGGACCTCGATGTACTGCGTGTCGCAGTCGCAATGAGCACTGCGAGGTTCGCTATGGAGATGATCGGAGGAGCAAACGACAGACTCAAGACACCAAGGCGCTGCAAGGTAGAATCACCGCCCTAGAAGAGACGATCAAGAGTATGGCCCAGTCCGACTCAAATAGCGGCCATGATCCGTCCCCAGAGCTCGAGATCGTGCTCGAGGCCGAGCCCGAGCCCGAACCTGATGTTGGCCTGCAAGCCGCGGCCACCACCACCGATGTCCAACCTCATCACCAATCTGCCTTCTCCAGCCCGGCCAACGTAGCGAGTCCCAATAGTAGTAGCCAGAGGCATACGTCGCTACAGGCCGCCACCGACATGGAGTCTTGGTCCAACACCGATGAACCACGTTCGTCCAAATTGTCTGCCTCGCTCTCCTTCTCTAGCCAGCCTGAATTGAGCGTCCAAGATATGCTCGAGTGTTTCCCCTCCGCAATGGACGAGGTCGCCGCTCCAATAGCAAAATTTGGCGGCCAAACATGCGCCAGGAATAGACAGTACTTCGGCTCGGCGAGTCTGTTTCCTTACGCCGAAAATGGTCTCGGAGCCCGAGGCGCCGCCGCCGCCGCCGCTGCTGCTGCTGAAGACCGGAACGGTGTCGCCACGGAAGAGGAAACGAGCCGGCGTTGCCGAGCCGCCCTTGAAGCGTCTCCTGAACCCGGGCCCATTGTTACACACCTGCTCGACCTATTCTGGAAATGGCAGTCGTGTCACCTCCTGGTCATTGACAGAGCCATATTCCTGCGACATCGCAGACTCTGGGATGAGAGAGGCGGCAACGGTGATCGAAACTTTTACACTCCTTGCCTCCTTTATGCAATCCTCTCCATGGCTTCCATGATCAGCCCTGATGAGGGTGTAAGGAACTACTCTTGCCCGAGCGGAGGGATCGCCGGGGAGAAGTTTGCCAAGCGCTCCCGCGCCCTGCTTGAGCTCGAAATGGAACATCCGACTATTGCTACCGTTCAAACGGCTCTCATTCTTGGATCGCGCTACGGAGCTATGGTGGAAAACTCCCTCGGCTGGACCTACAGCGGTACTTGAAGCCGTCTTTTTCGACTTTTCTTTTCGCTCGCTGACCCCATCTCTACTTAGGCATGGCCTTCCGGATAGCCAGTAAACTCGCCCTTCATCTTGATTGTGGCAAGGCTGTCGCCTCGGGCCATATGACAGCTGAGACGGCCAAGCTCCGAAAGACCGTCTTTTGGGGATGTCATATAGAGGACAAGTGAGTGAGCCCATGTCTTTTTCAATCTATAGTAACCACACCACGTTGCCGATTGCTAACGAGCCTTGTCATTCAGTCTGTTCAGCTCGTACTGTAGCAGGCCGACGTTCTTCATGGACTGGGATATCACCACTCCCCTCCCTGATCGGCCGAATGAATTGGACGCAGCTGAGGAGGGCTCCCATCGGGCGTCTCTGTTATACATAACATCGCGCTTATCTCTCGTCATCTCACGAATCATGATCAACCTCTATGGCCGGCGTCGGCAAAGCACGGCAGCTGAGTTGTACACCTTTGCCTCTCAAGCACACAATGACTTGTGGCGTTGGTACCAAGAGCTGCCAGTTGAGTTCGCATTGGTCGGCCAGGACGATAAGCAAGTCCCGACGTCCGAAGTATTAATTCTCCAGTGAGTCGGCACACTTTCATATCCCTGCATCTCTACATCGTTCTGCCGAGCAGAAAGACTACCGCCCCGCTTACTGCTTCTTTTTTCCGACGATGAAATACGAAATCGTGCTAACTGATCTACAAGTATGCATTTTTACTTTGCACTTACTTTCCTTCACCGCCCCTTCCTCCAGTTCTCTAGAGTCCTCGATGAACTCACCAACCTCGACGGGTCGACATCCACGTCGACAGGCGCATGCGCTATTGCGGCGACCAACATCACCAGGTTAGCGCAGCAGTATCAGAGATTCTACAGCATCCGGCAGGTGCCATCGCCCACTGTTCACTTCGTTTTCATCGCCGGGACCATTCACCTAGTCAACTTTCGAATAACAAAGTTGGACTGCCATTATCAACTCCTCCAAAGCTGTTTGGGGGCCCTGTCAGAAATTCACAACTCGTACCCGATCGCTGGCAAGGCCTCATCCGTCTTGAGGGACCTCATTGACGGCTGGGAGCCGACGAAGGAGGCAGACCAGGTTATCGCCACACGGATGAAAGCCGACGTGAACAGACACACCTCTCAAGGTGGTCAAAAGATTGATGGCTGGTTGGACACCGAGAAACTCCCGCTCATGGAGACTCTTGAACGTTCTGGCTTCGAAGATTGCGTTCTGGACGATCAGGCGCTCGCTGCGGCGTTCCCATTGCCTCAAGATCTGGACATGTCTGGGCCTCTCAATTTTGAATCAATCCTTTCGGCTGACATGTCGGCCGATTGGCTCACTGAGAGGGCAATATTTGATACGTTTTACGGCGATAATCTTCCTCTTGGATAGCAGAAAAGAAGCTAGGGGTTCCTTTGTCATGTGTCTCGTGTAATGTGGGACATGCTGGCCAACTGCTGTCCAACACCCGGTTCACCTCAGCTTGCCTTCATTGACGTTCTTGGCTTGTTGCTTCCGATCACCCGGACGATCAGAGAGATATCTGATAACCCGCCATCGCCAACTGGCTACGATGAGACTGATATTCTGTGGATTGAGTTATGGGGGTCCAGTTTATTTCCGCAGTCAGGCGTTCAACTCACATAGGTTGGTTGAGCGTGTTCCTCCTCACCTTGACCTGTTGAACCCAGAGCGACCGACCATTCAGCTTCATCGGTCAAGAAAGTCATGTTAGGAGTAAGTCTGCACTAAGAGTAAACCGTCGGTATTCGACACGGAAAACACTCCGTCGGATCGATGAGCCAGGCTGCCTAGCGGATGAGGGTGGGGATGCCGCATTTCCGGAGGCTGGGCTGCGTATGTAGTTGTGCGCCACCAGTGCTATGGCCGATCTTCCGGTCTCGGGTAAGTCATTCTACCGGCAGCCTTGCGAAATACACAAATATGCCGCACTGTAAAGGTGCCCCTTGGACAATTTGAAAGGTCACGGTAGGTGACGTATTTCTTGACGTATATTCTGCCTCTTTCAAAGAGTTGCTGGGTTCGAAAGAGTGTGCTTTCTCCTGACATACTTGTATTCTCCAGTCCTTCCCATCCCTTGGAATCAGGGGAACGCTTGCTGGACCTACAACACGGGGCGCTATCGCTGAAGCTGTTTGTAGCCATGACTTCAACCGCAGGCGTAATGAACACCCGGTCAGCCTTGATCCCCTCTCCTTCGCAGCCTCTGTTGCATCATGCACCTAACCAGCCACGAAAAACAGACGTGTCCACAGCCTAAATACCGGAGACAATATTCCCGCAATCGGCCTGGGCACATGGCAATCTAGACCGGACGAAGTGCGAGCTGCGGTTGAGGCTGCCCTTGTGGCCGGTTACAGGCACATTGATGCAGCTGCCGCCTACGGGAACGAGGCCGAAGTTGGCGAAGGCATCCGCAATTCCGGGGTCCCGAGAGACGATATCTGGCTGACGACTAAGATCCATAATCAGTGGCACACCCGCGTTTCTCAGGCACTGGATGCATCATTGGAGGCGCTGGGTACTGATTATGTCGACCTGTATCTCATCCACTGGCCATCGTCAACCGACCCAACCGACCTCAAGAAGCACCTGCCCGACTGGGACTATATCAAGACGTGGGAGGAGATGCAGAAGCTTCTTTCTACAGGCAAGGTCAGGAACATCGGGGTATCCAACTTTGGTATTACCCACCTTGAAAGGCTCCTCAGCAGTCCGACATGCAAGGTAAGAGGAAGACCATCCATTTTCTGAAGTTCCCAAGTCCACCTAAACCCGTACCACACACTCGTAGCTAACAGATGATGCCAAAACCAAGGTGGTTCCCGCCGTCAACCAGATTGAACTTCACCCAAACAACCCCTCGCCCAAACTTGTGGCCTACAACACGAGCAAGGGCATACACAGCACCGGCTACTCCTGCCTTGGCTCGGCTGGCTCTCCGCTCTACCGCAATGAAACTTTGATTGATCTGGCCGAGTCCAAGGGCAAAACGGTGCAGCAGATACTCATCATGTGGGGCCTGCAGAAAGGATGGTCTGTCATCCCGAAGTCGGTAAATCCATTAAGAATCCGGGCGAACTTTGCTGTTGATGGATGGGATCTCACAAGAGATGAAGTTGCCATTGTGGACAGTATTCCTGATCGATTCAAAGTATGTGACGGGTCCTTCTTACCACCGGAGATGCACGGCAAGGTGTTTCTTGGCGACGATGAGTAAAGCAGAGGCATACACCAATGGGCTTCGGTGCGGAATGCTGCAATAACATGGTCAGACCGCCTCGAGACGGAGAGTAACCTCGCTAGCTGTTGTCAATCGATACAGTGTGCCATACAACCTGAATTGGCTAATGCAAAAGCAAGAAAATAATCTGCGTCCACAATCTGCTCTACAACTACGTCTTTGTCTGCCACAAAGATGTATTTCACACACACAATAGTCTTTGTTCATCAAATAACTCGTGCTTGCTCTGTGTCGTACGTATAAGGTCGGGGCGGCAGAGATGCGCTCTTTCCCGCAGGGCTTTGATATCCCACTTTGCACGGCGTAGACTGACGTGCGGCAGAATATACGAGGCTGATATAAAGGATACGTCGGCCAGCGTTCAAGCCCACATAGCTTTGACGCGATGACATATTCAAGTCTGCTGGCTTTGTGATTCTGCTTTCCTTAGAGCCAGACCCAGCAGATTACGGCACGCCCTACTGGGCAGAGCTTTAGCTGTGCGATCAGAATTTAAAATTCAGGAAATGAGTCAAGTTCGCCGAGTCATTGGGTGGTCCCAATGCGCCCGGTCGTGAACAGGAACTGCTAAACATCGCCATTTCCCCCGTCAAATACCACGAACGACGCACGCTTTGTTTCTCTTCACGTACTCTACATTCATAGGATACTTCATCATCATAATTAGCTAAGCACGACTATCCAATACACTGAGCTGTGAAGACGAGCCTTGGTGAAAGACGTAGGTCTCGTAATGACGTGATGAGATGCGAGGTGTTCTGGGCTGCTATTGTTGTCCCACGCAGAATTCAAAAAGTACGCACTAGATGTGTCAACGTCACTCAACCTTTGAAAGTCTGGATTGCCGGGCTATTTGCAGTATGGGACACCCAAACCGCATCAGCAGAGTTATGGCAAGCGAGAAGTGTCCTAATGCACCTCCCCCATCATGTTCCAAACGCTCGCTTGCCATACATGTGCAGTACGAAGACATTGAAGACCTTCGAGTCCTCCACATAGCGTGGAAAGGTCTTGAGCAGAGTTCCAGGAAGGTTCCAGGCATTTCGTAAATTTTGAGGAACACTATTGCACCACAAGGCGTAGGAGAGCATCCTCAGTATGAGCTTACGTGACATGTGAGGAATCTATTATCCTACATGATTATTTGCCGATTTTCCGAGCCGTGGTGAATGGCTGATCGGGATCTGCTTACTAAATATCCGTTCGTTAATCATCAGTTTTCCGCATGTACCAATCCATCAGAATACGGTCGCAAGTGTTGCAGTATAGAAAGACCTCTCCAACTGTTCTCAACCGCTTTGAAGTGGGTGACATTGCTACCAACGCACCTATCCGCATAAACTGTCCCACCTTCTTCCACCTCATCGAACTTGTCTTTCAGTCGCTATAATGGCTAAGGTGTTTAACGTCGCAATCATTGGCTATGGGTCAGTTTCATTCCCAATATTTTGGTAATTGCCACAGCGATGCTCAAAAGCTACCCCAGGATATCGGCGAAGATATTCCACATACCTTTCATCAACGCCACGCCCAGGTTCAAGCTAATCAGCATTGTCCAGAGGCGTCCGCGGCTTGGAAACTCTGCCCCAGATGACTACCCTACAATCAAGCATTACACAAATATCGGAGACATGCTTGATGACACCGACGTGGAGGTGGTCGTGGTGACGACTCCGCCCGACAGCCACTTCCACTTTATTAAGAGCTCACTAGAGTCTGGAAAACACGTCCTCGCAGAAAAGCCGTTCGTGCCTACATCGAAAGAAGCCGAAGCTCTCATCTTGATCGCTAGAAAGCACGGCCGATTGCTCACCGTGTACCAGAACCGTCGCTGGGACCTCGATTTTCTCGTCGTCAAAAACCTGGTCGAGAATGCTTCTCTGGGCCGCATATGGGAGTTCAACACCCATTTTGATCGATACCAACCAAATCCCAGGACAGCTTGGGCTGGCGAACTCACTATTGCCTCAGCTGGCAGCGTCGTATTCGAGCTCGGCACCCACCTTATTGATCAGGTCTATTCTCTGTTCGGCATGCCATCGGCTGTTAGGGCCCGCATGTGGGCCCATTCGCGAGGCGAGATTGATCTTGGTTGTCCCGATGCTCTCTCCGCTGAACTGGTCTATCCGACGGGCCTCTCCGCTAATATTCGCATCAGCAGTCACAGCACCGAAGCGCCCCAAACGCGATTTTGGATTCGTGGTACGAGCGGAAGCTACCACAAACTTGCCTTAGACCCCCAAGAAGACCAGCTCTCTTCAGGGATTAGTCCTACAGACCATGGCTATGGCATAGAGGGGCCGGAGAAGAGCAAACTAATCATTATTCGTGATGGGTCTCCAGTGGAGCATCCTACACCCAGTGTGAACCCTCTCACGTACCTGGAGTTCTATCGTCAGTTTGCTGCCGCTGTTGAAACTGGTCAGGAAGACATCATTCCTGTTACTGCGTCTGAAGCGATGGATGTCCTGAAGATCATCGAAGCCATCATTGAAAGCGCAAAGACCAGTCGCGACGTTGTAGTCTAGTAAAGCACTGACAAGGAAGACACCGAGCTGTCCATAGTTAGTGGTGATGGGATGATCTGGTCACTCTATCCGGCAGATATCAATTCAAGTCTTGGAAAGAGAGAAGGAACAACAGAGTGGGGAAGAAAATGGTTATCACCATTCGCTAGGATCCGAAATGAATGCCATGATTGTTACCATTTTTCATGAGAGTCGGAGACCTGAATGCAGTAATGGCAATCCTGAGCCCGGACTCGCTCCTGTACCATCCACTCAACGATCCCTTGAAGCGAGCTCGCATGGTATCAAACTAAGTAGAAAGCACCGTAGGGGACGTTGCGACATATTTAGCGTCGCTAATAATAATCACATAATCGAGCTGTTACGTTGCGTAATCGTGTTGGAGTTATGGGTTTGTGGACTCATGTATTCTGCGATCATGTCCCTTATTTCCTTCTGCAGAGCTTTACTGGCATATCGCCTGGTGAACATGTGAAAGCTTCCTTCTGTGGTAGAGTCCAGTCATCATCGATCAGCTCAAAATCATACCTATGCACCAAGACCGCTAACACCAGTGTTTGCTCCAGATAGGTGATATTCCGCCCGATACATCCTCTCGACCCTCCACTAAAGGTAATGAACTGGGGTTGTAAATCTTTCGCCGTCTCCTCGAGCCATCGTTCGGGAAGAAAGACCTCTGGTTGAGGAAATACGTTCGGGTTACGATGCATAGTGTACGGCGGAGAATGAACCGTCGTATTGCCTGAGATCCACCTGCCCATAATCCGCATGCCCTCCGGTGGAGTGAGTCTAGTAACACTCATTGTATTCGGTGGCGTAAGTCGAAGACTTTCATCAAGACATGCGCGTAAGTACGGAAGGTGTCTCACCTTGTCGTAGGCCGGCACACCCTCTATCTTGTCAAGGACGGAGTCCAGTTCTGAACGTAAGAGATTGAAGCACCGAGGATTCTTGAGCAGCCAATATAAAACATTCGTGAGAGCAATCCCGGTAGTGTCTGATCCCGCGTTGAGCATGATGCTGGTTTCTGCGACCATCTCACCCATAGGATACATATTTGGGCGTTTGTTTCTGTCCTCGAGGATGTATGAGAAGAAGTCGTCCAGGCTTTCGCCGGCTTGGTGTCGTGACAAACGCCTTTGGACAAGATGAACACACATGTGCGTGTAATTGGCATTATCGGACCAATACGGATGCCACGCTGTCAGGCTTCGGAGCCACCGGAACCACTTCGGGGACCATACTAGGCTTGTTTGTATAACATGCGACCTCCAGAGGGCCTCTCTGTAACTGAAACTTCGCGTTCCGCCGTCCAGAGTTTGCACCTCTAGGATGTCGTGGCCTTTTTCAATGAGATTCAAGTCGGCACTGAGACCGATCTGGGCGATTGCATCCTCGGCGAAAAGAATCATCCAATGCCGATGATTAACATATCCGCCATTCGTTGACAGGTGGAAACGAGGGTCCGCATGCAAAGTCGGCGTGTACTCGGGGTCTTCGCAGAGACGGTCGTACTGGTGCATCAGAGCTTGTGTTCTGTCAAAGACGATGTGTTCCCAGCGTTCAAGACCCGATTGAGAGTACGCACCCGCCAGGACACGACGTTTGCGGCTATGCTCTTCACGGTTGGCCGAATCCGCAAGATGGCGGTGCGATCCAGCTAGGACGTCGTAAAACTCGCCCTTGCGAACTGGAGAGCCATGGCCGTAGATATCTTTGAACCCTTGGGCGTCGTTGAAGGAGATGGAGTTGGGACCAACTCGGACAATAGGTCCCAGCGTTTCGTGGGCCATGTGGAAGGCTGCGAACCTTTTGCCGCGAAATGCGTAATACATGCAGGGAATATTTGTGAACGATGCAAACGTCGTCATCCCAGGAAAACGACGTAGGTTCTTTTTGTCTCGGAAGTAGGCATAGACGTGATCAGCTGTGTTCCAGAAAAGAAACACGGCCAAAATGCCGATAGACAACATGATGAGTGCCATGATTGGAACTAGAGTATGTGTGATTCATGAGCAAAGTGGTGACAAGCGACTGAAAATGAAACTCGCCATAAATACACATAATTGCTATAGTTTTAGGGGGGGGGGGGGGCTTATAATCTTGAGCGGCCCTGAGACGTCCCTTGTAGTAGTCAAAACCCGCAGCCAAAGTCAAACCATGGTCGTCAAAATGCTATGATTTCATAGGGCGGAACCCGTGGGGAAAATGTATTCAAGTGGCCAAGCGGCGGAGTAGCCAACCCCGCAAACACGGGCTAACCTGCTGGTCTGACAGGGTAATTATGGTGCCCCATTCCGTCCGATTTGGGTAAGGTTGGTGCCTCTCAGATCTCTAAAGGGCAAGTTTGGTGTTTCTCAGTTCTCCAAAGGGCAAGTTTGGTATTTCTCAGTTTCTCCACAGGGTAAGTTTGGTCAGACTAGGTTGCACATAACCATAATCATCGTCTTAAGAAGTAATTATATAGTGTTGGGCTTCCGGATACACACAATTGTACGCTCATTATCCTGTTACATGTATCACGAAATCGAGCATCTCAAAATGTTCAACCATTCCTCTGACATCGTTGAACTATTCCTCACGCCTGCAAAGAGCGACGCAATTATCTTCTGGGTCGTGTCGACTCTCCTACTGACAAAAGCCATTTGGTCGCGATATCTGCCCATCAATGACCATATTCCTGAGAGCTTTTGGCATATAGTACCACAACACCACAACAATGGAAAGGCAGACGTTGCCGAATTAGTCCAATCTCGGAACATACGAGACGCGTTCACGATTGGTGTAAGGAAATATCAACCTCAGTTGAGTCTTGACCCAATCTAACTACAACGCAGAATTTGGACGTGGTTATCTTTTGGGGCAGCCAGAGCGGCAGGGCAGAACTTGTTGCGCGGCGGCTTTCCAAAACTCTGGCGGACAAATTCTCACTCAGTATTTTGGCAGCTGATCTCGCCGATTTTGATCACAAGCACCTTGCTGAGCTTGACCCAAGTCATCTTTGTGGCTTTGTGCTCTCAACCTACGGTGATGGTGATCCTCCGGACAACGCGACAGAGTTCTGGAATACTCTATATACGCTACATGTCGCGAGGACTGACTTGAAGAACCTACGCTACGTTCTCTTCGGGCTCGGCAATTCCCAGTACAGACAGTTCAATCACATTGCTGAGCAGACCGACCGTGTTCTGCAAGCACTCGGAGCTGTACGATACGGAGAGGCAGGCTGTGGCGACGATAGCAACAGCCGCACCGAGAGTGACTTTATGTTATGGAGAGGTTCCCTTGAGAAGACTCTCATGAGAGAGTTCAATTTTACAGAGCACACTATCCCATACCAACCCAGCTTGAAGATACAGGAAAACACCAATTTGTCAGTTTCTCAAATCTTCCATGGGCATCCCTTACCGGCAATAGCAGATCGCGGACAGCGACCCCAGCCATTGGAGATCAGAACGATTCGGAAGCTGTGGGAGACTGCGGAAAGATTGTGTCTTCACATCGACGTGGATCTCGGGGTCGATCGATCAGTGAAATATAAGACAGGAGGCCACCTTGCGATTTGGCCAAGTAATCCCAGTCACGAAGTGGACCGATTGATTGCAGCCTTGAGCCTTACGGGCAAGGAGCACGTTCCGATAACCATCGAAGCTGCCAAACAGCCTGGACAGATGCCCATTTCTATACCCACACCTACGACTATCCACGCGCTGTTTCGATACTACCTCGAGATATGCGCCTTGCTGTCAGCAGAAACAGTTGCCGATCTCCAAGAATTTACTGAGTCAGATGCAGTAAAAGCAGAACTGCGTCGAATCTCCAGCAGTGCAGATGACTTTCAGTCAGAGATCGTAGTCCCACACGCGACTTTGGCGGACGTTTTGGAAAACACATGCGCCAAAGGTGTAGGCGTGTGGAACATTCCATTATCTTTTATTCTTGAACGGACAAAGCCGATGAAGCCACGACTCTATTCCATCTCCAGCTCTACAATCGTTCATCCGCGAACGGTTTCCATCACTGCGGTCGTAACAAAAACCCCGGCCTGTCCCCCGAGGTCACCACATCGCTACAATGGCTGCTACGGGCTGACAACTGCGTATCTCCGAGCACTGGAGTCGGCGATCAACGATACCAAACGGTCTGTCATGACCAGTGAAGTTCAACCTTCGGAAACGATGCCATTCGACCTCCATGGACCAGGAGCAGTTTTAGCAGGCAAGAGTATGTTTGGCATTGTTCGGCAGAGCTCATTCAAATTGCCGAACAAGGCATCCACTCCCATTATTATGATTGGAGCCGGAACTGGCATTGCTCCCTTCCGGGGGTTCGTACAGGAACGCGTGAAGAGAAAGGAGCTGGGGCAAGAAATTGGCGAAACAATTCTGCTCATGGGATTCAGGAACTCCACGGTGGATTTCATTTACCGAAACGAGTGGAAAGAGTGGAGAGAAATACTCACCCCTGCCATCTTCAAGTATAAGGTTGCGTTCAGCAGGGACGACGAGTGTGAAAAACTGCACGTCCAAGACCTATTGATCCAAAGTGGAAGAGAGATTTTCAGGCTATTGAATGGCGATGTGCCGTGCCAGGTATACATCTGTGGAGCTGCGGCCATGGCTCGGAATGTCATGACCACCTTGGCCACTTTGAAGATGACGTTTTGCAACGTGGGGGAGGTTGAGGCACTTGCATGGGTCAAAAAGATGCAACAGTCGAAGCGAATTTTGGAGGATGTATGGGGCTAGAGTGCCCGAAATTTCATATCAATCTAATGTCTACGATGTCATCGTGCCAACAAGAGTGTTTGTGCGTCCAACGTCGGCCAAAGGTCCTCTTTTTCAACTAGACGCAATACTCTTAACATGGCGTCTCGGTCGAGTGGATCATTGACCCACGCCGCAACTCATTCCGAAGTCAGCAAGTGTTTCGGGTGCTTATGGTGGTGTCTCGTACATTGGGATATCCCTAGGCAGCTGACAGTTCTTGCTGGTGGAACCGGGTTCCCAGAAGCAATGCCGCACAGGAGACGCAAATAACACAATACGCCGTTCTGTGTCGGCACATGTCAGAGACAATACTTGCGGTTTTTGTTACCAACGTTTGTTGCGTACTTCAGTTTTCTTTCGACTCTCGAGGTAGTCTGGACCGTGTTTGGGGAGTTGGGGGTCATGAACAATCATGAGTAGCTTCGATAAGCAATGATACGCCACAGCGACGGCTATTTGGTAGAACAACTGGTTAGATCTCGTGTCTCCAGTCACTAACTCTCTTGTTCTGCTTACCACAGCAATCCAGTGTGAAACAGAGATCCCGGTAGCCCTGGCTTTCTAAAGAACTGTCAGGTTCATCGAAATGTACTGGCGTAAACGTGACGGGCTTGCAACTATCCCACTCATCTAGGTCATTAGCAATTGATAGGAATGCTTCAACGGAATTTGATCTCGGTCCGAAGCAAAAGTCAACCACCTCGGCATGGAGGGTCGTGGCCCGTTTCGTCCATGCATATTCTTCTCCACTGTAGAGGTGGCTTTCGGTCTCGATCGCACTGCATGTTTTGGGAGCTCTGCTGTTAATTATTGCCACAAACAGATCCTGGCGTTGGTGAACCCAGAACGCTGCGTTGGCTAGATTACTCGACGCGAGCACATTTCCAGTACGCATTTGAGCCACCGAAACGTAGCCTCCAAGGAGGTGCTGGACGTCTTCCCTTCCGTGAGGTTGAGCCACTGGAGAAGGTAAACTAGTATTCATAGCAGCTCTTGAAGGGTCGCGCTGGCTTCACGTACCATTGATCTCTTCGTAAAACCGTAGGAGGGTCGAGCATGCAAGGAAGGCACCATCTGCGATCAAGAAACTATCTTGGAGCATCGGCAGAAGAAGAGCGACGCATTGTTCGTGGAAACTTCTAGCTCTAGTGATTAAACTGTGCTGAGTCCTCCGATCTGTCTCGCGTCTGCTTCTATGCATGGCAGAAGTGGCCAGTATTGAATAGAGCAACAGCGGGCAATAAGGAGCGAGCCGAAGAACATCGAAGGTGAAGTTGTGGTCTGTGATGTCAAACTGCCACTTTCACTTAGCACTTCCAAAACAATGCTCAGGTCAAGTATGACTTACCCATGGCCGCCCAACGTCGGATTGGAAGTAGAATACGAGCTCTGCATTGTCTCGACATCCCAGCTGGCCTTGAGTTCTGCTTGAATATAATGATGGTCGCGACTCAAAAAAAGATGAGACGGGAGCAGATAGCTGTAGCTTGTTATGAATCGTGTTGATGCCCATCAATGAATGTCCGGCGTCAGCGATGTATGCGTCTTCGCTGCCGCAGAATAGACTATTGCCGTCTTGAGCCTGTCGCCTTGCGATGTTCCTTGGTGTATTTTGTTGCCCTCGGTCCTTCTGAAAATTGTGCGAGCGAGAAGGCAAGAGCGATTCTCGTGTACTTGATGATAGCTCCGGTGACGTACTGTAAATTTCCGAAACGCTTGATATCGAAGGCGGACCATCTGATCTTTCTTTGTTAGGCTGTAATGGCGCTGGAGACGTTGATGACGACTTCGCCTCTTCTAACTGTGATTCTGACTCATATTCAAGACCGACTGTGCCTGTTTCGTCAATGAATTCAACTGCAGCTGTCTAAGCTCATTGTCTCTTATGAGGTTTCGCAGTGACATACGTCTCATAGGCACATGAACCCACTCTTGGCATTGGCTGAAAACCGATTTGCCGTTGCCATGGGCATCAGAGTCCGATGCACCGATTGTCCTACCGCGACGGAAGCGGACGTTGAAGGAAGGGATGCAGGTGCGGCTATCTTCGCTGCAACGATTACAGACCGGCTGTTGCCTGTCGCCTGATTCATGACCTCAGTTCTGTACCACTAATCTCTAGAAAGATGCATCTTACATATCAAATGACGTGCCCGGCACGATTGGCTATGTAGAGTCAGGCGGTTATTCCCGGCGTGTGGAGCAATGAGGTGCACACACGAGCGGAGAGGGCACCAGAGAGTACTAACCAATCCGCTACTGTCATACTGACCGGCCGCAAAAAGGGTTGATGAGCTGCCGGAACCTCGAACAGGGGCTTGAGCGAAGCGGAGAAACGCGTTCAACAGACGTACAAGTCTAGGCAGCTCTTCTCACGATAAAGGTCGCTTAAAATACGTTTTGGCAGGCGCTATATGTGCTTAGAAAGCAGAGCTTCCCCGCAATTTGAGCTGGTACTATGAGTTTCATATGCGGCCGGATTACCCGCCGACGGTGAGAACGGTAAGCAGAGTGAGTGAGTCTCTTGTATACCAAATAGACAGTAAGTGGTAAGAGATGTCCCCTTAAGATTTAAGTATTTATGAATCAATGATAGCTTCATTAAATAATATCTATAAAGTATAAGAAGCATTTGACTCTATGAAATATTTTACAATGACCGTATTTCTGTTTGTTTGTTTTAGAATGTGGCCAAGCGGCGCTGAACATAGACTCCCAGTACATTGCCTCCGTAATTCACTCAGCAGAGCATTGTGTTCAAGATCATCCGTGTATTTGCTGTTGGCCTCTCTCATATCAGTCTCAATGTATTTTGGGAAATCTTCCAATTAGTGGCTTTTTCACCATGGTGGATTGTGACGGAAAGTTGTGCGTCGGAAATCGATTTTCCGCACAAGGAGCCACTTGTCGGCTGTTGCGGCAGTTGTGATAGCAGACGAGCCCACCCCCCCTTTGCAAACACTGCATCTTCGAGGAGTATTCTCAAAAGTCAGCTGATGGCCAAACCTGCTAAATTAGGAGCACAGTGATTGAACCAAAGTTGCCTCTTTGGCGCCTGTCCGAGCGCAGTGCGTCTCCCAATTGAGTAGGTTTGGCTACCCAACCCTGACAACATCATCCCCCGCATTTGACACTCAAGCCCGGGGATCGAACCAAAGTTGCCTCTTTCACTTCTATCTGAACGCAAGTGTGTCCCCAAATTGAGTAGGCTTGGTCAAGCTTGGCATTGTGTCGTCATGGTTGACTTTCTGCGGTGATACCCCGGATTCCCCAGATTCCCCGGATTATCTTATTCTGTCTGTACCTAATTAGCGTCTCGTATCCTTTCCTCAGTTACCCGTTCCTTCCTGCGCTGGGGTCTGCTTGCGACTGTCGCCATTTTCCCTAGATGCCAGGAAGCCAGCAGTGGCTGTGATGAATGAAGATGATGATGTAAGTAATCCTACCGTAGTATATAAAGTGAACGCATCGCAGCGACACGATTAGTCGCAGCTTGATCTGGGTGACCTTTCCTAGAATGCTTTCCATAAATAACCTTTGAAACACATTGAAGATTTCCTGCGATCAAGTATGACTGGCACCACCGAAAGAGTTTTGCCAGGCTCGGCCGTACAGGCTCGTTCCAAGCGTAGTGGTAGCGCTGGAGTTCATGGCCTCACTCACAACGTACGGATCCTGCTCATCTCATGCTTTGCCTGCATCGGTGGCCTTCTTTACGGCTACAACCAGGGTGTTTTCTCCGGCATCCTCACCATGCCTGCCTTCGGCTTCCATATGGGCGATCACATCACGAACACCACGAAGAAAGGATGGCTCACAGCCATACTCGAGCTCGGTGCCTGGTTCGGATCCCTTTGTGCGAGTCTGCTGGCTGAACCTCTATCGCGAAAGTACACCGTCATTCTCGTCACAGCAGTCTTCATCGTCGGGGTTATCACTCAGAGTACAGCAATTCATGTCGGCCCTTCGGCAATCCTAGGCGGTCGGTTGATCACTGGCGTGGGTGTTGGTGGCCTCTCCATGATCGTGCCTATGTATGTGGCTGAATGCGCTCCAGCAGAGTGCCGGGGACTTCTGCTTGGCATTCAACAATTTGCTATTGAGTTTGGGGTTATGGTTTCTTTCTGGATAGTGAGAATCACCTGGACCGGTAAGGTCTAGCCCACGCATCGTCACTTGCTGACAAAATTCCAGAACTATGGGTGTCACTTTATCGGGGGTGAATCGGATTCGACACAATCAGACGCTGCGTGGCTTATTCCTCTATTACTCCAGATAGTCCCGGCGATTGCGCTATTCATTGGCATGCTATTCATGCCATTCACGCCGCGATGGCTCGTCCACCATGGCCACGATGACGAAGCTCGGAGAGTCTTGACCAAGCTACGATCTACTCACACAGATATCAATCTAATCGAGTTGGAGTTCCTTGAAATCAAGGCCCAGTCGCTGTTCGAGAAGCGGACAACGGAAGCCAACTTTCCCCACTTGGCAAAAGTTTCGTTCATCAATAGCGTCAAGTTGCAATTCGTTGCCATGCTCGATCTATTCAAAACTCGGTCAATGTTCAAACGAGTCGTGGTCGCGAGCGTTACCATGTTCTTCACTCAATGGTCGGGCATCAATGCCATTCTATATTACGCGCCTACCGTAGGTGCTTCATAGCCTTGACTTACTTGGAAACCAAACTTAACATCTCCTCAGATCTTTGGTGCCCTTGGCATGTCCTCAAACAGCACATCCCTTTTGGCTACAGGCGTCGTCGGCGTTGTTATGCTAGTTGCCACCATTCCCACTCTGATTTATGTCGACAAAATTGGCCGGAAGCCAATTCTTACAATCGGCGCTATCGGTATGGCTTTCTGTCACCTTGCCATTGCTGTCATCTTTTCTCGTAACGAGGATAAGTGGAGGTCTCAGCAAGCATCAGCCTGGGCATGTATCGTCCTCGTCTGGGCATACGTCGCATTTTTCGGCTGGTCTTGGGGCCCTTGCGAATGGATCTTGGTCGCAGAGATTTGGCCCCTCTCAACTCGGCCTTACGGGATTGCCATTGCTACATCCGCAAACTGGATGAACAATTTTATTGTGGGCCAGATAACCCCCGACATGATTGTTCATTTACGATACGGTACCTTTCTGGTCTTCGGCATCTTGATCGCTCTAGGTGCTGCCTTCATCTGGTTTTTCACCCCCGAAACCAGTCGACTTACCCTAGAAGAGATGGATTCAGTTTTTGGTAGTTCAGGTATTGCAGGGGCGGATCGTGAGCGCATGGATCTCATTAACCGCGAGCTCGGGTTAGGTATAGCGTCAGGTCCGCTTGCGGGAGGGGTGTCAGAAACGGAACGCAAACCTCACATACAAGAATATGAGGGCAGTAATCAAAACAGACGCGACAATGCGACGTAGAGATTGCATTCAACAATTAACATTGGTTTTCATCTCCTACGCTACATTCCAGATGAGTCGTCGGGAAATTACAACATTTCCTTTAGTCAAGCCGCAACTTTAAGGGCAGCCAAAATCTCGGGTTCTCGGTCTTAGCAATCACGATGTTTTGGCTTTTAATTTCCTGTCTTCAACCCAGCTACCTGCATCTTTCTAACTCTGTTGATTCCCTTTTCATCAATTTCTTCCTCGAATTCAGTGCTAATGGCGAGCCATAGAACAGCGAGGGCTGCCTCTAGACGCAGAGACTGCACTGTCCTCAAAAGAACACCGGCGACACGAGGGAGTAAGCTAGTACAGAAGCCCTGTCAGAGTCAATCATGACAGTCGGCCACTTGATCATACTACCACAGTCTGAGGGCCCAAATCTCGAGCACAAAATAACTACAATTCCTGACAACGACGAGAACCCTTTCTACGTCGAGAAAAAGCACTGGAATTCAATCGACTAACCGTTGATTTCAGACCGCTCGAATCGATGTTTGGTGTATCTCCCAGGCATGCATTCGCGTTGAAGGGCTTAGCACATCTTGGCCGCTCCAGGCAGTTTTGAGAAAGCTTTCGGTTCTGACCGGGCTAGGAAGGGTGTTGTATTCAGGACACTTGCGTCGCTCTCAGTTTTTGGTCTTTGGGACCAAACTGTTTCTCAGTCTATACGCTAATGTCAAGCACTCCATCCTTTTCTCCCGGGCCTATCTCTCTCTAGCTACCTCAATGTTCGTCAAGCACAAGTTCCGAAATAATCGCCATTCCATCAACCGAAACATGACGCAGAGGTGACAGCGAACCCCTTGTAGTGGAAACTAGGAGAATATTATACCTAACAGGCGGATGATTCCTTCCAGGATGGCCTTGAAACCTTTCTGAGTTTTGCTTGAGGCGCGTCCGATACAAACCAACATAGACCTTTGACGTCAAACGCTACAAGATCGGCGCCTTGTGCTTCTTCAAGAACAATTGAATTGTCGGCTACGGCTACATACTTTTCTATAAACTTCTGACGTGTTCCGGCAACGGCCCACGCCTCCCTTCACGATACCCAATGTCCGGAAGATTCATATGAAGTACACGTTCCAGGCATCATCCTCAATGACTACCTTCACCACGCAACACTACAACAGCACCTACAAGGCTGTACAAAAGCGCCTGGGCCTCGAGATCCCTCGATCGAGCCGAGATTCAATTCGCAAACCGAAATGGAAATCCTCGAGGACGGTTCTGTGCGGCACAAGTGCCAACTCCGAGGGAAGCAAGAACACGTCGAGCTGGACGACCACGTACAACATGGAGGACAACAACAACAACCACGATGAAGTGACGGGCCAGCTACCGCAACTCCCACAAGGTCATAACGTACTGCCATCGTCAACGACCTCGTGGCAGCTCTTGAGCCTGTTCGAGGGCGCGGTGACTCTGGGACATCGACAAAGGCTTGTTGTAGACCTGAAACCCTTCGAACATGCGGCTCTCCTTCGTAGCGACCACCATGTTCTCCCCGTCCACCTCGTTTTGTGAGCAGATGGCAGGTACCTTGCACTCGACACTGCCAGGTTCGTGCCAATCGATCCCCACCTGGTACACCGCTTTTTGGTCAGCTTCGCGATCTCGCTCAAGCTATCTATCTCCGAGATAAGCGCCGTGTCGATAGAAGTGTTCGGGGTGCACCTTGGGTCAATAAACACCGCGAACTTTAAGAGCTGTCAGTGGGCCTGATCCCGTCCTTCTTTCTGCTTGGGAAGGATTCGGGATATCGTGGCGGTCCTTAAGTACCAATACTACGCCATCTCTGCAGGCCTTCTCCTCGGCAGTCAAGACATTCTGGTTCCACAATCTAGCCTCCGACTACGTGTGATGTCGACGGACCTGGCGTATCCTTCAGAATGACGCAGTCCCTTGCGTTCTTGGCGTAGTACAAGTGGCCCAAGTAGTCGGGGTGGACTAGGCAGTTCTCAACCTTAATGGAGGTTCTCCCACACTGTCTGCTCATTCGCATTCAACTCTCTCCATGCGCACCTGATTTCTACGTAGACCAGCCTCATTGCAACGGGCTCAGATACCAGGCAGGTTAAAACTACGACACGGGACTCCGAGATTTGCGTTTAAGTAAAATGATCAACTTCTTTAGATTGAATTTCCTCAAGTTCAGTTCATTTCTCACGATGGTTGAGTTGGGCTTACAACTGAGGAGCGATGGCCTTGCTCTGTATGACGACATCCTTGCGTTTGGTGTAGAACTTTACTTGAAGACTAGTTGTTGATATGAATTTGAGGTGACAGTGGGCTTTGTGCTTTCGGTGAAGAATGATCGCTGAAACGGAGGAGACCTTCGGAAGAAACCATCTTCCTGTCGCTCATGTGCAGTTTTGCGCTGTTCGAAACCCGAGACTACAGGCCACCACCGGTTTCTGGCCAGAAGAGCAAGACAGGAGCCGCTTGTCGTAACACCACCCGGAGTGGATTGCCCCTAGTTGTCTAATTGAACCGCTATTCTCCGTCCTAATTGCAATTGAAAACAGCAATTAAGCCCATGACATGTGAGTCGACTGATTCGACGGTCCAAGTTACGTGAGGAGTGGTGAAGTCTTGATTGGTAGAAGAAATTGCCCACAATTTCAAATTTTCATGGCTTGGACTAAACGGCGCGCTTCCCTCTCAGGTTCAGACATGTTTGTTCCCTGCTATTAATGAGAAACCTCCCGAATAGTGAGAGCCGTCGGTATCGAGGCGTCTCACGGGGACCTGGTCGAGTGGTAGTCGTCCAAATTTTGTGCTCGGACGACGGAACTTATTCCATTCCACGCTTATGGAAATGGCCTTACTCCATTTCGACTTGAGATATGCGTACCATCTCGTGCTTGGCGTGTCCAGCAATGGACTGAGCCCTGAATATGCGGTCACGCAACGCACGAGAGCAAGCAGTCACCAAGGTGGAAGTGTGCGACGAGTCTCACTCAGATGGTCATCTCACTCAGATTGTCACAATCGGAATGAAAGAGATGCCACGAGGACCTTTCGGCAGGGTAGACTAGATGAGAAGACTCTTTGACAACTGTCGATGGAGCTTATATAAAAGAGCGATGATTATTTTCCATGAACGACGGGATGAGATGCGTGTAATCGGTGAAAAGTGGCTACTTCGTCATGTGCCACTCAATGTATTGCCGCACCGAGGCGGCCCTCAGGCTGATCACTGACTTCGAGTGGGTAAGATTAGCGAATACCTACTGTAAGGTAGGTAGGTGATTGCACATCGCCAAACTGTGAGGTGAGGTGTCTGTCGGTGGGCTGGTGACAGCAGCACAGCATCACACTACCCGTCAAGGTCCGCTAGGTTGCTTCTGAGGTAGTAACACTTCAGAAACCCGATTCTTTCTTGTTTGTATACATGCACTCTTGGTGTGAGCGCAAGGCAGGGAGCCAGCTCTGGAGCTGGCACTAGATGTGACCACATAGGAGCACGGCGCCAGGCCACCACGATTCCACCTCTGGACATGTTGTTCAATCAGAAAGGTGAGGTTGACTAGGGAAGATACCATTGGATGATATTCTCAAGTGCAGCTAATAGTATTGGAAACAGGCTAGCTGGGTGCTGTTCCCATGGTAGCTACGCGGGAAAGGTAGACAGAATGACATGCCTCTTACCAGTGCCTGTCACTATGTAATGCTGAACTCCTGGCGGGGTTCACATCGAAAATGATCCTATTGGATAATGAACACAGACTTGAGTGATACCTCGACAATAACTTATGGATTGTGACTTTGCAATTATTGCCTCCATTCCTCATGCCTTGTCTCTGCATATTACCGATCCCTTCATCGTCCCGCACGTACCAAAATGTCCCTGTCTGCTCCTCGACCAATCTCAATCTCCAGACCATATTCGATGCTTGATAGCCTTTGTCTTATAAATCGGGCAACGACGATGTATGCTACGCACATCGTGAAGGGATTCTTGTCATCATCCGTGCTGGTTATGAGATTGCCCTCCCTGAAAAAGACAGCCGCCACTTCTGTGGCGGATCGCAAGCTGCGCATGGCACTGATCTCGAGGTTACTCGCTGGCTTGGAACGGGCAGCCGAAGAGCCAGTCGGATGTTCAGGGGGGATATTGGTGAGAATACTCCTGACAGCAGCTTCTAGATGATGACGTCTGTCTATCTCTTTCCTCCTCTCGCCTCTCTCGAACTCCATCTGAACAGCATTTCGCAGGAGTTTAGCATGACTCACGTGAGTCAGACCGAGGGCTGATGTTATGCACAATGTCTCCCACTGACGCGCCTCAGCTTGGTGAAGTCGTTGTAATCTCGACATTGACTGATCGAAAAAGTCGCTTGGTTTGAGCAGGGATTGATAGGAAGATTGACGGTCCCATACTTCAAGCGCCAATCGAGCCAGGGCTGTCGAGCGATCACTTGTAGTCTCTCCGAGCTCGTCAAGGTACCCAGCCTCCTTGGGTGAGAGAGCAGCCTCTGTGGAGGTCAGCAAACACTGGAGGAAATGGCGTCGGTGCGCATCCAGTGTCCTCGACGTCACATCTGTCGGCATGCCCGTCCCAGTTCCCGAAACCTGATGCGCAAACAACAGCGTGAAGAGTCCGCAGTCGATGTTGTTACTTTGGCGAGCACACTGGTTGTGTGTCAGTACCTCAAATTGGGTCCAAGCATGATTGAAAGGGTACTTACTCCGCTCACATCCAGGTCAACTTGAACGTCGTCGCTCGCTCCAATCCGACGGAGGAACGGCAAGATCACGTCACGGCAAATTTTCTCGGCAGGCAGAACGCCTGGACAGGAATCGAAGAGGCGAACCTTGTTTTCCTGGCAGAAAAAGACGAACAATACCCAGTGGTCGTCATTGCACACCGGCATGAGTAACTTGTGTTGCTCTCCATGTTGAATCTCATTGTAGACACGATCGGGTATGTTCTTCGAGTCAAGGACGAAACTGTCGATTGCCAAGACCTTTCCAGTGACTGAGGACAAACGGTTGAGGAGAGTATTGATGATGGTGTCGTTGAGTTTTTGTCCTGGAAGAAGACAGTGCATATCGTCCGAGATGTTCGAGATCGAACAGCGATACTTGAGCCTTGAGGACCTCCCTTCAAGATTGGCTTCGATTGTAGCGCCAGCTAGGGATGTGTTCAGAGGGGGCAAAACAGGGGATTCTTCGCTTTTGATGGTTATCAAGACGGGGCTGGAGGTGAGGTCGGGTCGAGCGGGGGATAAAAAAGCAGGTTCCTCAATCACAGGAGTGGCTGCTCCATCTCTGTCAAGAGGTGAAAGTCTCGCACCGCCAAAGCTGTCGTTGCTGACGTCCCAGTCTGGGTGCCTGACTTCAGTGAGTCGAGCACGCTTGCGCTGGCGCTGGGGAGGAATTGGTGTGTCTTGGTTCCGTGTACCAAAAGGTGACGGTGTTAATGGAGGAAGAGATGCAGCCCGAGGTATTGACTGGGGCACAAAGGAGTTATCGTCACCGTCATCCTCAGCATCGTGGGTAGATGGGCCCGCTTGTAGAGAAGAATTGTGGAGTCCAAGATTGTCTTTGGATTGAAATACAAGCGCAGAACCCTTTGGTGCACCCGTCAAAGTCTGGCGCTCCCGTCTGGATTGCTCTGGGGGTGGGGATGCATCGATGTGTTGGGCTGGAGGAGATCGCTTCCGTGTCAATGGAGGACATGATCGTTTGCCACGTGTCGATCTGGTGATGATGAAGGAGGGCCCAGCAGGAAGGGGTCGACGTGCGTCTGGTTTGTGCTCGTTGAGGTTGGAGTTGTCGGGGAGGTCATCGTCCGAGTCACCGCTGTTGCTACTCGAATCGCATTCGGAAGGCGGGCCATCTTTGGCGTACCGTTGATGACGCATTACTAGAGCAGGTTCAACTGGTTAGAGAGCAAAAGTGTGAGCAAAAGCTGTCGGTGTGCGATGTGCGAATGACATACACTCTCCCACGGCGAGTTTGAACACGCTGACTTGGTTCCTTACTGAGCGAGGGCCCCATCGGTGGTCGTGGGTTCTCGGTACGCGATTGAAAGAATCAATAAAGACACCAAGGCAAAGCTGCGGGGAGGATCGTCGTAAGTTTCTCAGAAGATCGAGGCACCTTCGAGATTTCGTAATCTCCGGACCAAAAATTGCGAGAAAAAGGCCGGGTGAAACGTCCCAGTGCGGGCACAGGTTGGCCAGACGACGTCGAATATCCGTCTTGATTAGTTGGAGATCGTCTTTGTGCTTCTTGTCGAGGATTCGGCAGAGTGTTTGACGATCGACCTTTCGGAACGCCCAAAAAATGAACTTGGTGTCCCCAGTTATAGTAGCGTCATTCGTGTTGGTGAAGTTGGCCTGAAGGTCGTGCCATAAGCGGTCAACATGCTGCTCGACCTCAGTAATCTGAATGTTGTTGAGTTCGTTCAATGTTCTAAGAAGCGGTGGGGTGTCAGAAGTGCCTCGGTCGGCGGCAGGGAGGTCTGTATCGTTGGTGTTTGTCATACCGGTGGTTCATTGAATAGAAAAGATTGATTGACTGACGAATGCCGAAATGGCGAAATGGGCTTGTTTAGAAAAGAAGGGGTGCGCGAGGGCCGGAGGATGAGGTCGTGAAGCTCATGAGGAAGTCAAAAAAGACGGAGGAGAAGAAAAGAGTGTGAGGAAGAAGCGTCTGAGGAAGGAAAAAGATTGAAAGAAAGGAAGGTGAGCGAGAAGAAGGAACAAGAGCACGAGGAAGGGAGGCGGAAGTCAAGTGGTAAGAATTAAAATGGAAAGAAGTAAGGTGGGAAGGAGTCAGTTGGGAAGGAGTCAGTTGGAAAGGCAGGCGGAAGGGAAAAGGGTGGAGGGAAGGAAAGTAGGAAGGAAGGTAGGAAGAAAGGTAGGAAGGTGAGAACTAAATCAGTTGATCGCAAGGCAAGCGATTGTAGGAAGGAACGCTGGAAAAGACTGGTGCGGATGGTGGAGGCAATGTCCAGGCAGAAGGTGGAAGGAGGGTGCGGATGGCAGAAGTTGTAAGAGCTGCCGACTCCAAAAGCTCCCAGGCACGCGGTTGAACTTGGTCTAAGGTACTCCAAAAACTGCCGGGTTCATGGTTGAATTTGGCCGAATCCAAAGGCTGCCAACTCCGAAAGCTGCCGCCATGTGCGGTTGATTTTGGTGTTTGGCGGCAACGCCCCGCAGAATTAGCTCAGTGCGAAGCTTCCACTGGCTGGCCACCCACCAACTCCCGCTCGTAACATTGACTCGTATGTAGCCAATGTGATTGGAAGCTCGGTGCAGGTCAACCTCGGAACCAAAGCCAGTCGGTGCACTTGGGCGGGACATTGCGCCGAATTGATGCCATTGGAAGTATGGCAGTTTGGGACGACGCAACAACACTGGCCTACGTGGATGCGGTTGAAGGAGAGTGGCGGAGGAGCGTCTAGATTTGGACCGGGCGGATAATAAAAACGAAGCCGGTCGTAACGCTGGTTGGAATGGCAAAGGGCTTTGCGTCGTGGAGGGGCGATTTGAAAGTGCTCAAATCCCGACGACAAGGTCCAGCAACCATCAATATGGTTGTCGTGGCGAGTGGGAAAAAGGAACAAAAGAAAAAAAGAGGTCTGGGGTGAAGTATCGACTGCGACGACTGATGGTGTTGACGATAGGAGGTAGTAAACAGAACAGTTGAATGATGTGGTGGAGACGAGGTGGGATGGGACGGGAGACGGGAGATGGGAGACGTGGGGTGTGTGTGGGGCAACCTAAATTCAACGTCCCGTTCTCCAATCCGCCCCATGAGTTACCTCAGACACCTCACTGGAAGGTACTCAGGTGGGTACTTACCTAGTTTGCCTGGGTGAGTGATCACCTTCCTTCCTCATTAGTTCCAATTGTCACACGTTCCTGCGGGTGCAGCCACAATGACGCGACCTGCTGGAACTTGGAGAACAAATGGTGGAAGGCACGCATCTGCCCGCTCAGATTTTGCGTGTCTATACCTGCACCTGCGCCTTCAGGTCTCACGGGCGAGGTACGGTACATTAAGGTAAGGCACGGAAGTCGTGCCTCCTTCCCTCACTTTACACCCTTCTCCTCCTCCCTCTTACTCTCACCCACTTCTTCAGATTTCCCCTCTCCGGGGCAAAAGGTTCACTTCGGCTGTGCCTTACGTTCCTTCCTGCGCCACTTCATCTTTTCCTCCTTCTTTTATTGCCACCAAGAGCTGCTGAGTGACACCGGAACGAAGCCTGGCACGTACACCTGAGGTATCTTACGCTACCTCCCGTCGCCTGCATGCCTTACGTAACCTACGTCCTGCGCAAAAGTCATCGCCGCCAACTCAAAGTCGCACTGCAACGCGAATCGTTTACTGCTGCTGCCTTCCAACGACCCTCGGCACTGTCCATCATTCTGCACGGAGCCCCTTGTCTCGATAGTTTGGTCTGCTTCGCTCTTCATCGTCTTGCTTCGATGCCACTTCATCCCATTCATGTCATCGCAACGCCTCTCGTAGCAGTACACTCACGATCGTCGATAGTCTCTCCCGAAAACACAAAGGCGCTGGTATCATTTATTTGGGTTTCCTACACGTTTCTCGCCACGATGACTTCAGGCAGGAATGCCATACCGACCGGGCTACCGGAGACAATTCCTTCCAGAACCATGGCTTTCCGAGTCGCCTGTGGTGTTCGGTGCCGCCCATTCATAACTTCACAACACCGTCTCTTGCTCCGTAGGCTGTTGGCGCAGCCGGGTCGACCGTGTCCTAGACCAATGAGGCTGCGAAGCATCATCATAATACACACGCCCGAGGCACGGCCTGATTTGCGCGACTTGACCGCGTCGACTGTCAATCTGACATTCTGACTCCCACGAACACACTTGTCTGACCGAGGCTGGTGCCCATCACTCTCGATCATTATCGCCCGCCGAACACACCAATGGCAATGTTGCCCATTCCCTCATGCCACCTCATCATCCGCAAGCTATGTGGGTTTGCCTCAAGATTCGGCGGCGACTGCTTCGATGCCAAATTTTGGCCAAAACACGCAGGGTTTACACGACAATGTCGCCAAGCAATCTTCCCACAACCATCCTGTCTAAGGTGCAAGGAAGCTACACCCTCCTATGACAAGTCACTTTCTTGCCGTGCAGTCTATCCACAGGATGGCAGGAATGGCAAAGAACCGGTTAGCCGATTGATTAGGCCAATAATCCCTCTGCCCACTCTCCCATGAGTGTTCTGTTCGTTTGGTGTTCGCAAGGGATGATGCCCAACACTTGAATAGAAGAACTGTTGGTGATTAGGTAAGAGGCGCTGCTCGATTTGCTGCCTTGTGCTCATCTACAACTTCCCGAAGCGGAAACTCTCATGAAGACAAAAAATCATGGCACGAAGCGTTTCATGCGTTCAAAGAGAAAGTTGTGACATGACGGCGTGACGGGAACGTCAGTACGTCTCGTGCCTAACCCAGGTGAACTACCAGCACATCGTGGCATCAACGTCTGTACAGGGTAGCTTAGAGAAGAACAAAGCAGCAAGAAATAGCAGTGTGCTCAGCGAGGGATCACAGGTGTCTGAGGCGGAACATGGGTGGATGCCTGAAGCAAGATGTGTTGTCACCACATGAAGGCTTCCCAGATCGTCCAATGTCGAGCCAATCCCGTCCTTTTAGATAGCCCGCACATCGACTTTCGGACGTGGGACACCAATGTATCTGACGCGCGAGGCAATGACGGGACCAGCCTGCGTGTGCTTATGAAGCGACCTACGATTTCCGTGACACGCAGATTTCATCAATTGCCGTTGAAGGACCCCAGGTGGTGACTACCTTACATAAGCACAAGCACGGGCTGCGCCGGGCCCTTTGGCGTGCTGATTGCTTTTGGGCCTTGGACGACTTGAAGTTCTGCCCGCTGGATCTGTGCCACTGTGGTTCCTCAGGTCCACTCAGCACTCAGTGCTCGGCCATTGAAAGTCACCTTCATCAGCCACTACTAGCCACATCCAGCCACACAGCAGCCACGCCACACCCCCGTGGCATCTAAACGAAGCCACACAACACCAACACCACACGACTCACGAAGCTATATGCTGCCCAGGTTGAGACTTGTATCGGTTCCTCGATTGCCAAATTCAACGGTCCACGTGCCTCCCTGCCTCACTGCCGATGCGTATCGCTGTCAAGATCTCAGCACAGCCATGGCCATTGCATCGCTGTAGCAAGAACCAAGGTGAAAGACTGGTGGACTGGATAGACGAACTCATGCAAGCGCTCTTAGAATCCAGTCCATGGGTCTTTTCACGGAGTACCTTGACGGCGGCGAGGATTCCTCTGCGCGGTTTGACCGCCCTGCAGCAACGGCTCCAGGTCACCGAGCTTACTAAGGTGGCTCGTGCGCGCTACAAAGGTGAATCGTGCTTAGGTAAGGTAAGGTAGTCACGGGGTACGTGGCTGGCCAATCTGACAATCTGCCACTCCGTGGGCTTGGGCTCGCTTACATAAGAATGACCCATTCTTTGGTACCTTCGCTTGCCACCTACCTTAGGTGCACAATACACCGTGTGTATGTCGAGAATAACGGCACGTTTCTGTAATATCATGGCTCACAACGCTTATTCCAGCGAGCACTTCTTAACTCCATAGTCATCCTTGATACGAGACTCCAGGACAATGTCGTGATCGAGAGTTTGGTGAGAGTTTGGTGAGATTTCGGTGAGATTCAGCCAGTTCATGCGTCTGCTTGAGACTGGCGGCCACTTTCCACGTCCCACGGCGAATCCGCATAACACCTATAAGAGGGTATTGAACGCGGCCGAGCTAGCCCAGCCACCACCAAAAGCTTGAGGAAAACGGTGTGTGATCATGATGAGGTGACGAAGCTGCTTGGCGACG